TCCGGTCAGAATGTAATTTTTTCCACAGCGTTGACAGCTACAATGTTCCTTGCCGCACAAGGTGTCATGAAAGGTATGGTCGGCCGAACTTTCATAACACATTTTAGTCTGAGACAAGCTTTGGTCAGGGACCATGACTGTTGGTGACCTTGTCATGGCGAACCAACTAATTTTCCAGCTGTCACTTCCCTTGAACTTCCTGGGTAGCATCTATCGCGAGTTGCGTCAAAATCTTTTGGATATGGAAGTATTATTCAATATTCAGACTGAGAATGCTCCCGCCAAGGTGCGCTCTAGGGATTCTTCATCATAAGTTTTTGCCGACATGATTTCCTTGTAAAGGATAAAGAGGATGCAAAACCGCTTGCATTGAAAGGTGGTTCTATCCGTTTTGAGAATGTGAACTTCGGCTATCATTCGGATCGGCCCATCTTCCGCAACTTGTCCTTTACGGTTCCGGCGGGCAAAAAAGTGGCTATAGTTGGTCCATCCGGATGCGGGAAGTCTACGGTCTTCCGTCTCCTGTACCGTTTCTACGATCCTTCTTCCGGACGGATTTTCATAGATGACCAGGACATCCACGACATTCAGATGCAGAGCCTCCGGGAATCTATTGGTGTAGTTCCACAGGATACGCCGCTGTTCCATTCTGATATCATGCACAATGTGCGGTATGGCCGGCTTGATGCTACCGACGATGAAGTAAAAGCGGCTGCAATGAAGGCAAGCGTTCATAACACAGTCATGGGTCTTCCCGAAGGCTACAAGACCACGGTCGGTGAGAGAGGCTTGATGATTTCTGGAGGGGAAAAGCAGCGGTTGGCGATTGCACGTGTGTTACTCAAAGATCCCCCGATCCTTTTCTTTGATGAAGCTGTGAGCTCCCGTGTGCCTGATTTACATTAGGACATTCATTGACCGCAATTTCCAGACGTCGGCCTTAGATGCTCACACGGAAACTGAGCTTATGCGTAGTATTAACAGCACGTTGCTGGACAAGGCACGGACAAGTATATTTATCGCGCATAGACTCCGCACCGTGGTTGAAGCAGGTGAATCTTAGCTGCACTCTGTTTTTGCTCAGGCATATTGATGGCTTGATGGTAGATTTAATTATTGTGCTTAAGGAAGGCCAGGTTGCGGAACAGGGCACTCATGAGGAATTGTTACGCCTGGGCGGCCTGTATCATAATATGTGGGTCCAGCAGGCCTCTGATAACTCATTAGAGAGCTTGGCCGAGTCTTGAGCTCCTGGCCAATGCTATTAATTATTGGAGAGTCCGCGGCAGCATGCAACATTGCTTGGGCAGTGCAATTCACAGACGGATATTCATTCAGACTATTACTTATTTTCCCGATCCTGTGGGACGATCAGACGTCAGTTACGGAAGCTGTGGTCACAAGGAATTTCGATGGCTGATTTATGTGAACTACTCTCGTCCAAAAACGTATAAACGTGCGTGAAACGCTGTGTTGACTCCCATAGGTAAGTGTGTATACAGCAAACGTGGGTCACGTAATCGCAAATCATCGACCATAGTTTCCATCCAGTGTGACTCTTGCCCTCGTCTGTCCGTCCTCAAGCAAGATCCACGTTTCAAGCCCACTAGCAGGATCTGCAGAGGGGAACACGATATTCCGTACACCGTGGCCCCATCCTGCGCTACTGTAGCCACCGTATCTAAGACATCATGTGTGCAATGAGAGTAGATTGGGTAAATGATGAGCATGCACTGAACCGAACGGGTCCAGACGAAGGCCACATACCCAGAGTGCTTTCCAAAACAAAATATAACATCCTTCGAAGGCTCGCGGGCACACCACTCATCGCCATGATCTGTGAAAAAGACACGCATAGCCATATGATAAGCGACAAGACAAAAATTGCAAATCTACGAACTCACCATGCCCAGAGATCACCGCGTGTAAGTTCTTGATGTTGGTATTCAACGCATCCCAGAATGGTTGGTCTTTTCCGGCTGATGATGGGTTACTAGTGGCTTGTGTTGATCCCTGGGATAGAGTGTCGGCTGGAAAAATTCATGATAGTGAGCAACGGAGGATATCAAACATATTCAACTTCAGCCACCATTTAATCCTGGGCTTGTTGTGGTGTTCAGCGTCTTTTGCACATTCTCGATTGCATGTCTTTTGTTTATTTCAGAATGAAGGCATAGTAGTCGAATGAAGTTCACTTACGGAGGTATATGTACGAAGGCTAACGCTCCTCGCTCTCTCTTTTCTACTGAATCCCACCCAGCTTCCATTGCAGCTGTCTCGCGCTCGATCCATCCTGCTACAGAGGCGTCCACCCAGTCGGGTAGCGGCGCAGATGTAGAACCAGGGGACCAACCACCTGGTAGTCGAAGGACGTCAGTGATTCGACTAAAGACTTCCTGGCAGAAGGTGGGAGTATACCTCGGGAATCAAAAAACCACAGGATCAAAGCAGGTGTCAGATCTGGAAACAAAATGCGCAGGTAAGTTCGGACATGCGTTCTTAACATTTGATAGGCACCTGTCGCTTTTTCGTAGATCTACAGAAAAACAATCATGTTTATAGTCAATGATAATCCCGATTGAAAAGTCACCCTTGTAACATACCGGAACCCAATACGTGCCCTCCCCTCCCTCCCCTCCAATACCAGGTGGTGCGGTGCGAGTGTAGCTCAGATAACTATCGCGCTGCTCCCGTCGTATTTCTTCAAGATGTGTAATGTTTTGCTCGTTGTCATGATTCTAACAAACATTATTTTCGTCATATGCATCTCTAGTGACATTCATGAGAAATAGACCCACCCCTTGTGTAGAAGAGAAGGGTATTTTTGCTTCGTTTAGAGGAGCCACTATGCGATCGATGAGAGTGGTGGAATTCTCCCGAAACGTATCTAAGTAAAACAAGGGAGTGTCACTAACGGTAACAATCAGCCCAGGTCAGTTTGAGCATACTTTCGCCAGTAATTAAGTCTCCATTCAGTACGCTGGAGAGATGTTGTGTTATTATTAACATCCAACTGAAGGAAAGTGAACATAATCCATACACGTAGTCAGGCTTCTCAGAAGACAGTACACGGCGCATCAGGCGTGTACTATTAACATCCTGTTGAGGTCCCCAATCATCCCAGGGATTTTCGCCATAATGAAGATCCGAGAATACGGTCAGTTTAAAAGTCCCAGAAGAACTGAAGGTGAGACGTGGTTTATCGGGATATGGGTTGAGAATATTGACATGAGAGGGTATATCAATTACTGGGAATTCCACCTGTCTTGAATGTGCTGGCAGAATCAGAATGTATCCATGATTTGTGTAAGTGTTCTGAGAGAATAAATACCATGGGGTAAACTTGGAAATGCTTTCACTATTCCTGCACAGAAAAGGGCGAGTGAGGTGACGATTCTTATATCATGCAAACACAAGAGGATCATAGCACAGTAGTACGTGGTCTAGGTGAACGGAAGTGGAGGGAGTTTAACGACTGCATGCTGACAACTGGACTAGAACCAACGTAATCCTTAGCTCGTTCTAATAATAACTCTATTGGACAATGCCATATTCAGTGTTCACAAACGTCACAGCGCCCTCTTACATGCTAATTTTGAGCAACATCAACTTGAACACTCGAGCTCGAAAAGCAGCAACAAAAGACAAGCCTCGCTCAGTCTCCATGCTGGAAGTTACTATCAACCATCCTGCAGCAATCTTTGCAGGAACACGATGTGCATGATACAGGTAGTTCAGCGTGTCACATGCTTGCATACGGTGCGGTTCCCGTTTAAACCGGCAAAGTAGGTTGATCACGTTGTATGAAGTGGACGAAAGGATACTACCGTTCTGATCGAAAACGATAGTGACTTGGCTGGAAAATGCGAGATCGGTGATAAGCTGGTGTTAAAATCAGGTCCAGTGCTGCCTGTCACGGACTGGCATGTGGTTATAACTTAGTAAGTATGGCATCACCCGGCTGGACAAGCGCCTACTGACGTTAAAAGTGAGCCGAAATCTACCTCTACTCACAATAAGATTGACAACATAACCACAAGGTACGCTCCTTGTAAACTTGAAGTGCTACTGACCGTTTGTCTCCCTGTCTAGGCCATCACTACATGTCAGGGCTACTTGATGTAGCAAACAAGAAAAAGCATGCCGTGAGAGGGCGCACGACGCCGGCGCCAATGCAAACGATGCGATTGCACATGGACAAAGTGTCGGTAGTCGCATTCTTCAAAGATGGTCGACGGGTTGTCACTGGTTCATGGGACTACACCCTGCGAATCTGTGACATACAGAAAGGAACAGTGGCAGGGGGGCCATTCGTAGGCCACAGGGACAAGGTGTTTTCTGTTGCGGTATCGCCAGACGACAGGCGAATTGCGAGCGGTGGAAGAGATAACACTATCATCATCTGGGACGTTGAGAGCAAGCGGATGCTATTCGGTCCGCTGGCGAAGCATACAAATATGGTGTCCTCGGTGTGCTTCTCACCCGACGGCAAGAGACTCGCAAGCGGGTCATATGATTCGAAAGTGATCATATGGGATGCAGAAACTGGCGCTGTGCTATCAACACTCCGGAGTGATCGAGGCGTGTCGAGTGTCGCATTCAATCCAGACGGTTCAAAATTAGCATCCGGATCATTGCGCAGCATCCAGATTTGGCGCACAGATAACGCCGAACCTATTTTCGAGATCAACGCTCATGAAAAATGGGTCCTCAGTGTCGTGTGGTCGCCTGATGGCCAGCAACTTGTCTCTGCATCATATGACAACACAGTCAAGTTCTGGGACTCCTCGAATGGATACCAGATCGGTCAACCTTGCACCAGTCACACTTCCAACATTAACTTGCTTGCCATATCTTCTGATGGCTCCTTTATTGCAACTATTTCGGACGACAGGACTGTCCAACATTGGAGCACAAAATCACACCAGAAGATAGGAGAACCACTCAAACACATCGAAGATGTCACATGTGTCTCCATTTCTCCCGACGCAGAATTGATCATGGTCGGAGACTTCCTTGGCGAAATTCGGTTCTGGTCAATCAAGAACATACTTTCTGCAGCAGTCCAACTGTATTCCTCATCTGGCTCTTACTTCGCACACCGCAGTAAGCTGAAGCTGGCACGAAACCTCTATCACGAGGCCCTTTCGGACGCCCAAAAGGTGCGGACAATATCTGTTATCGTTTCAACAATTGTGGTGATACTAAATACTACCGATTTCTAGGTTATCGAGCTCCACCCAACGTCTTACCTTGGGTATAAACTGAAGCATGCAGCTCTTTATGAAGCACGGCGCTATGATGATGCAATCGAGTCCTTCAAAATCATGCTTTCCAAGTTGGATGATGCATTCGACTCACAGATACGACGTAAGCTCACAGTACCTCAGGCATCGGTAGCCAAATTAAAGATGATTTATTCTTTTTTTCAGAGTTACGCAAGCAATATGTCAATCCGTCTAAAGTAGAAAATGCTATTCAACAAGCCATCCATGCTCATCTGGACAATGCACCGCTTCGTCTAATCAACACCAGTCACTGGAAAGCTATGTGATCGACAGGCACAGATCAATACCTTCAAGAAAAGCACAGAGTACAAGGAGATCTTGTCGTCATCGATGCTGCATGGGCCCCTCCAAATGGAGCCCATCAGAGAAGCGGTGGTGAAGTACTTCAGTTGGGTCATGTTATCTCACAGGTGGGAATCCAAGGAACCGCACTTGCATGAAATTCAGGACAAGGACGTGTACACGATACGTCCAGTTGGAACTATAGTGAAGTTGCAGAAGTTCTGTAAAATCGCTCACGGATGCGGGGTATTTTTGGGCGTGGAGCGATACATGCTGCATTGACCAGAATAATAACGTCGAGGTCCAAGCATCAGTTAACTCCATGTTCGTCTGGTATCGCAACTCAGCACTCACCATCGTCTATCTATCGGACGTTTCTCCTTCGTCAAAGCGTACACTGGCAACAAGCGTTTGGAACACGCGAGGATGGACTGTCCAGGAGTTCCTCGCTCCTACAGTTGTTCTCTTCTACCAAGCAGACTGGACCCTATATCTCGGTGACTGCTCACCCAACCACAAGCAGTCTGTCAGTATTATGCAGGAGTTGGAGCGTTCAACTGGTATAAATGCACGGGCGCTCGTTGCCTTCAGCCCGGGGATGAAAAATGCCCGAGAGAAACTTCAATGGGCATCATGCCGTGTTACGACATTGCAGGAAGATATTGCATACTCATTATTTGGTATCTTTGATGTCAACCTTCCTGTTATCTACGGAGAGAAAGTACAAAAGGCGCTCGGACGACTCTTACAGGAGATTATCGCTCACTCAGGTGACATCACAGCTCTGGACTGGGTTGGACAGCCATCCAGCTTCAATAGCTGTTTACCAGCCAACATTGCCTCATACAGAGCCCTGCCATGCACATTACCATCTCTATCCAAAGACGAGATTCAATCATCGGTCTCCTCACTGCGAAATGATGTGACTCAGCAGTTGGCTTCGAAACTCTACACCATCCTTGACAATCTCAGTGCTCCTCGCTTCGCCAACTGCAGACTGCGCCTCCCTTGCATCACATTTCCACTCACAAAAGTCAAGCGGAGGGTCGGTACACCTTGCACCTATCATATAAAGGCAGACGGACTCCAAGACCTGGAAATCACAACGGCAAATACGCTGGTTGAGTTCTGGCCTGGAAAGTCCACGTCACAAAAATTCTTAGTCATTCGTCCGTGGAATCGTCATGACCTTGGCCTGCCCGACTTTGCAGACGAGATGCAGAATGGGGATGATAGACCTGAGCCTGGGTCTCCATCAGATGATCCGCTCGGCTTATCTCCTACTCAAGAGTCGAACTTACTCATTCGCCTCTTCAGCGCACTTTGGCCGGCTGATTCGCGGTCTCACACACGAGAGTTGGGGTTGGTTGTTCGCCTTGGACAGCCTTTTAGGGCACTTTTACTAGCGCAGCAGCGGGGTGGGGAGTATAAGAGAATTGCTTCGGATTGCAATATCATTGCACGAGTCAGGGACATGACTCGTGTCAATGACATGATGGATGTCAGGACGCTAGAGATATTGTAGTTGCATTTTTGTTGAAAACGGGGATCTAGATTGTACTTATTTTCTTCATACTTCGACAGCTTCTGCATGGAAAATCGTATCGTATCGTATGAGTCTTTGCTATCTCTCAGTATTTGAGCACGAGCACAATCTGCGCCTGATAGTTTTAGCTATCCATTGAAATCATCAGGCTACAATACGAATTTCATAGCCTGCCCATGAATTTGCTGAGCATAACGAAGGTCTGATACTGACGGTGTTCTTTGCTCGTCTGATGGATCTTGCTTTTAGCTCGCAACCTTTACCGGCTACTGCTCAAGTCGGCACTGCAAAACATCACCGGCTCCTTGTTTCCCACGTGCGATTTCTCTTTCGACCTAGCATGTATGGCGTCTTATATTTAACAGGTATCGATCACACAGCATGTATCCACCAGTGCAATACATCACCGTTACATCAAATGCACGATCAGATCCACCGAATAGAGTGAGCTGTCATGTTTCTTCTCTGACTTTTGCAGTACTACAGAATGCGACCTTGTTACAGAAAGCAATCACGGAGCTGACAGGAAGTCTCGAGTTTGGCCAGTGAAGCCCAGATGCTTGTCGCGATCGGATCACGCTTATACCTGTGTTGTTGATCATGATGGCCACACCATGTGGTTTCATACTGAAAATGGTGTTGGAAATCAGTCGCCAACGGCTGGAACCGTAAATCAAGTTCTACTTGGAAGCTGGGCTTCCTCTTTTGTATTTCGCACCGTTTCACCCAATCAAAGGTCTTGAGGCAGGACCAAATATCCATCTTCATCATGTCATGCTGATTTTGGCAATAGAAATGCTGAACGGTGGGATATAAAGCGCGAACGCTATCGTGATACATCACCAACATTCCTCACTCACTCACACCCATCTCTCAAATATGACCTTTATCTCAAATGATCCCAGTTCGTGGCCGATAATCCAATCAAATATTTTATACAGCTATTGGACAGGTTTGTTTCATTAAGATATCTAGAACTAATGTTGACTTGCGGTTTCGCAGTTGCCGCTAGCGTCATTGTGGTATATGATTGGAGTGAGCAGGACAGTTTTTGGAGACTGCTGATATTCTCATGATATTTCCAGCGCTAACACTCGGACAAGAGGTAGGTCGATGTCATTGCCGCAGAAACCAACTCGCTAAGGATGTTGTACATAGATTGAACTGATCTGGGTGAGTAACAACAGTCCCGTATCAAAAAAAAACAGGAGAATACAACAAATTCGCGACAGAGGCAACGTTGGTCTCTCATGACTGTGCTGTATTTGGTCGTTCGTACCTCATGTATGCCATAGCGTGGTCGATGGTTGTGCTGACTCCTCAATGTTCTAGATACGCTATATTGGATTGCCGTATTCTGTGTATGTGTCAAGGCTAAAAATCGGCACTGCGCTAATAGTTCATCTCTGACAATTAGTCCCAATGTTTTGCGTATGTCTCATATGTGCTGTGTTTGATTCTTCTGACCGGCGGCACACAGCAACTATACCATTGGTCTCGCTGACAGATGCAGTGAGTATTCCCCAACCATCTCATTACTATTCAATGAATACACTCATTTGTAGGGGTGAGCATGATTCCGAGCATTTACTAACTTGGCTCAGCATGATGACTCGATAGGTGTGAGTCTGAGTGTTTGATCCTAGTATAGAGAGTGTTCACTAATCAAGTGTTTTAGGCGATATTATGTACTCCGCACAGAATGGGACAAATATGGTCGTAGCTGCCATGTTGGGAGGTGAGTCGCCCAGCTGCAATACCTCTGTGATATCGACGTGACTGAAACCTGATGCAAGTCATCATGATTGCTCGTTTACATGCCATGTATCAAGGATCTAGAAAGATGCTCATCTTCCTTGTTATCATCTTCCTGGTTGTAAACATCGCCTGTGGAGTAATCGCGGCAATAGGAATCAAGATACTGTATCAGGTAAGCTTTACTTGTTGACTCGAAGAACACGGTTCATTGGACAAACACCAGAGGAGCTCATACTCTTTGGCACGTATATGTGCAGTTATGGATATGAAGGGGCCGTCCAGCTTCTGTTCCCAATGGTTTGGACGCTCAACACTATTTGGGAGGTCCTCGCTCTGTGTCTTTCACTCTGGGTTTCTGTAAAACACTTTCGTGACCTGCGACGACTCAGCTCTTCGATGGGATCGATCATCGGGGACTGTTTCACAGTGCTGACGAGATCACACGTGTTTTATTTTGCCATGTGAGCTTGTCATGTGAATGGGCTATCTTTTTCTCAAGTTCTGCACGTGCTAGCTTTGTTTGTGTCTCTATCATTCAGCTTGGTGCTGACTCTTCAGAGATGATCGCGGTGCGCTGACCTGTTGCTGACATCTGTGTGACCACTGCTCATCATTTCATATTCTATTGGACCCCAGGGTGCTCTTCAAGTTTTATCGGTCATGCAGACGTTTGTGCTGGGACCACGCCTTATCCTTAGCGTTCGACAATATTATGCTGAACTCGTGACCGAATCCGACGCAGAAACTAGCATGAATTCGATTGTCTTCCAGGAACGTGTACATGTATCAACTAGCAGTACTGTGTAGGGAAATGCTTGCCCAGTGGTCTGCAGGGAGAAATTTGGTCGAGGATCCGTTCGTGGTATTTATTTAACATATGGTGTTTCGAAGTATATCCGCAAGGTCTAGACAAACCTATTTCGTGTTGTATTACTACTGGAATGCAGTAGCTACCCACCATTCTTACTACACCAAGTGGCAAGCTGACATTATCTGGAACGTTTGGCAATCAACCCAGTCCTTGATGTGAATACTAAAGTAAGAGAATCAGTGGAAGCCGCCCAGATAGCTGATCCCACATCAGAATTGTACTGCAGTAGCATTTACCAATGTGACTGCAAGACACATGTCAGAGGGTCACGGCCCTAGCCACCGGCACCTGAGAATAGAAACAACTGGCACTATATCAGGTTGTCTCGCCAGAAAAGTCCTCGAGAAGGTAATACGATATCTGAAGGTAAAAGCCAAAAGCATTAACAGGAATCACTCGACTTAGACCGCACACACGGACACAGCGGTAAGGCGTGGGAGCATCAGGTGTGTTAACTTTCGAACTCGGCTTGAGCTCGGCCGGACAAGAGTTTCAAGAGATGAGTTACAACTGAGCAGCAACTCTACTCACGATAAGATTGTCAACATAACCGTAAGGTATGCTCTCCGTAAACTTGAAATGCTACTGACCTTCTGTCTCCCTGTCTAGGTCATCGCTACATGTCAGAACTACTTGATGTAGCAAACAAGAAAAAGCATGCTGTGAGAAGGCGCGCGACGCCGACACCGACACCAATGCAAACGATGCGATTACACACGGACAAAGTGTCGGTTGTCGCATTCTTCAATGACGGTCGGCGGGTCGTCACTGGTTCATGGGACTACACCCTGCAAATCTGTGACATACAAAAAGGAACAGTGGTCGGGGGGCCACTCGTGGGACACAGTAACAAGGTGTTTTCAGTCGCGGTATCACCAGACGACAGGCGAATTGCGAGCGGTGGAAAAGATAACAGTATCATCATCTGGGACGTCGAGAGCAGGCGGTTGCTATTCGACCCACTGACGAAGCATACAAAATGGGTGTCCTCGGTGTGCTTCTCCCTCAATGGCAAGAGACTCGCAAGCGGGTCATATGATTCGACAGTGATTATATGGGATGCAGAAACTGGCGCTCTGCTCTCAACACTCCAGGGTGATCGAGGCGGGGTGTCGAGTGTCGCATTCAACCCAGATGGTTCAAAATTAGCATCCGGATCATTGCGCAGCATCTATATTTGGCGCACAGACTCTAACGCCGAACTTATTTTTGAGATCAACGCTCATGAAAAATGGGTCCTCAGTGTCGTGTGGTCGCCTGATGGCCAGCAACTTGTCTCTGCATCGTACGACAAAACAGTCAAGTTCTGGGACTCCTCGAAAGGGAACCAGATCGGTCAACCTTGCACCAGTCATACTTCCAACATCAACTCGCTCGCCATCTCTTCTGATGGCTCCTTTATTGCAACTGTTTCGGACGACAGTACCGTCCAACATTGGAGCACAAAGTCACACCAGGAGACAGGAGAATTACTCAAACACATCGTAGACGTTACATGTGTCTCCATTTCTCCCAGCGCAGAATTGGTCGTGGTCGGAGACCTCTATGGCGAGATTCAGTTCTGGTCCATCAAGAACACACTTTCGGCAGCAGTCCAGTTGTATTCCTTATCTGACTCTTACTTTGCGCACCGCAGTAAGGTGAAGTTGAGGCGAAACCTCTATCACGAGGCCCTTTCGGACGCCCAAAAGGTGCAGACGATATCTGTCATTGTTTCAACGATTGTGATGATGCTAGATACTATCGATTTTTAGGTTATCGAGCTCAAACCATCATCTTACCTTGGGTATGATGACGCAATCGAGTCCTTCAAGATCATGCTTTCCAAGTTGGATGATGCACCCGACTCACAGATACGACGTAAGCCTATAGCACCTCGGGAGCCAAATTAAAGATGATTTACTCTTCTTTCAGAGTTACGCCAGCAACATGTCAGTCCATTTGAAGTAGAAGATGCTATTCGACAAGCTGTTCATGTTCACCTAGAAAATGCACCACTTCGTCTAATCCACACCATCACTGGGAAGCTATGTGATCGACAGGCACAAATAAATACCTTCAAGACAAGCATGGAGTACAAGGAGATCTTGTCGTCATCAATGCTGCATAAGCACCTTCAAACGGAGCCCATCAGAGAAGCTGGTTGTGAAGTACTTCAGCTGGGTCATGTTATCTCACAGGTGGAAACCAAGGAGCCGCGGCTGCACGAAATTCAGGACAAGGACGTGTACACAATACGTCCAGTTGGAACTATAGTGAAGTTACAGAAGTTCTGCAAAATCGCTCGCGATGCGGGGTATTTTTGGGCGTGGAGCGATACATGCTGCATTGACCAGAATAATAATGTCGAGGTCCAAGCATCAGTCAACTCCATGTTCGTCTGGTATCACAACTCGGCACTCACCATTATCTATCTATCAGATGTTTCTCCTTCGTCAAAGTCTGGTGCACTGGCAAACAGTGTTTGGAACACACGAGCATGGACTGTTCAGGAGTTCCTCGCTCCTACAATTGTTCTCTTCTACCAAGCGGACTGGACCCTGTATCTTTACGACCACTCACTCAACCACAAGGAGTCTGTCAGTATTATGCAGGAGTTGGAGCGTTCAACTGGTATAAATGCACGGGCGCTCGTTGCCTTCACCCCGGGGATGAAAAACGCCCGAGAGAAACTTCAATGGGCATCATGCCGTGTTACGACATTACAGGAAGACATTGCGTACTCATTGTTTGGCATTTTCGGCATCCATCTACCTGTCATCTACGGAGAGAAGAAACACAACGCGCTCGGACGTCTTTTGCAGGAGATCATCGCTCACTCGGGTGATATCACAGCCCTGGACTGGGTTGGGCAGTCATCCAGTTTCAATAGCTGTCTGCCAGCCAACATTGCCTCATACAGAGCCCCGCCATGCACACTGCCATCTCTATCCGAAGACGAGATTCAGTCATCGATCTCCTCACTGCGAAATGATGTGACTCAGGAGTCGGCTTTGAAACTCTACACCATCCTTGATAATCTCAGTGCTCCTCGCTTCGCCAACTGCAGACTGTGCCTGCCTTGCATCACATTTCCAGTCACAAAAGTCAAGCGGAGAGCCGGTACACCTTGCACCTATCATATAAAGGCAGACGGACTCCAAGACCTGGAAATCACAACGGCGGACACGCTGGTTCAATTTTGGCCTGGAAAGCCCACTTCACAGAAATTTTTGCTCATCCGTCCGTGGAATCGTCATGATCTTGGCCTGCCCGACTTTGCAGACGAGATGCGGAGCGCGGATGATGGGGTTGAGCCTAGATCTCCATCAGATGATCCACTTGGCTTATCTCCGTTAGATAACGAGCCGACTGGTTCGCGGTCTCTTACTCGAGAGCCGAGCTTACTCATTCGCCTCACACAGCAATTGGGCGCACTTTGGCTAGGGCAGCAGGAACAGGCTGATTTGCAGTCTCACACGCGAGAATTGGGGTTGGTTGTTCGCCTTGGACAGCCTTTTAGTGCACTTTTACTGGCACACATCAGCGGGTTAGATCGTGCTACAGAGTGCTACGGAGCGCTTCGTAGCACTCTGTAATCATGTGTAATGAGTTACGTTTCCCTGATGCAGCAGCGGGGTGGAGAGTATAAGAGAATTGCTTCGGATTGCAATATCATTGCACAAGTCAGGGACATGGCTTGTGTCGATGACATGATGAATGTCAGGACATTGGAGATATTATAGTTGCATTTTCGTTGAACAACGGGGAACTTTTACTCGTTTCCACTCATACCTCGACAGTCCCTGCATGGAAAATCGTATCGTATCGTATGGCAGGCAAGTAGATCACTCAGTAGTATACTTGAATTGTCATTGAGAGTGCTAGGCTAGACGGTCTTGTAAATTTTCGCATCCAGAGGCCCTTATAAACCGCGCTTGTGTGCAACTGAAATGCACGGACGCTCGTCGCTTTCCGCCGGGTGACCGGTGAGAGTCCCCCAAGAGAAACTCCAGTGGGATCGACGCGTCACCATGTTGCAGGAAGACATCGCGTACTCATATTTTGGACATTCCCTTTGCTGTAATCTATAGCTAGACGAGACAAAACGCACAGTGCATTTGGGCGGTACTTCTGCCCTCGACTAGGCTCGAAAATAATTTGAGTTTAATTGTCATCTCCCAACTGATGTTTCCTTGTACAACGTATCGGACACTGATTCCCGTAAGTGACATCCATGTCGAACAAGCGTCGAAAAGTCGAAAACGGTCATGGGAGAGTAGGAAACAGAGGCATACACAAAAAATTAGTCGGCGACGTTGCAACTCAAGCTCGATACTGAAGCTTTAGCTACTTACCAGGCGAGTACACATTCATGAGCACTTGGAAGAAGTTTCAATTTCGAGACACTGTGGCTAGAGTCACATTCAGGGAAGCCAGCCTGGAGCGGCAGGCAGTGGAACCGCATATGATGCGCGAAGTGCGTGGACAGCATGGTCGACTCTAGTAGTACCTGCACAAAGCGGTAGTTGGTAGGATCAAGGTAATGTGGGGCAGTGAACCTGGGTGGTCAAATTGCAATTTACTCAACACCACTTTGGCACCAGTCTTCTTGATCGCTTAGATTGGTTTTTTGAGTAATAAGACGATCCAGAATAAAAAAAGGGGAGGATACGAAACACGAGACACAATAGCCATGAGCACACTTCTTGATGGCCCATGCGACTTGTACTCCATCGATCCTTTTCATCAGTATACATTGATGAACCAAAGATACAATGACACGAGTCAATTTCAAGCATGCTTGGGCCATGGCAATACCATGCCGAAGCAGCGCGGCACAGTTAGCAAGCCGGGACGGAGTTCATTTGCCTACGAGTCAAGCTAATAGCACATTTCGAGATTGCTGCAAAAGCTGTTCAAATACGGGAATGTTACACGTTATTTAATTAGACCCCACATTAAACCGGAGAAGGTACGAATATTCTTTATTACGTATTATTGTCTTCGTTATCCTACTCCTCACCATCCTCCGCCAGTTTTTCCAACTCTAATAGTAATACTCGTGCATATCTCTTTGCATGACCCTTGATCCAACTCCTGCCTGGGGCCTGCAGCCTAGCTATCATGTCGTCACTCAGACAGCCGCCCTCAAGACGGGGTAGCGCGTTCAAGATCCAGCGCCAGAGAGTGGCAGATCCCCATCGCAGTCACAGTCGACAGCTTCGTTGCCTCTTCCCATTCATTCTCCTTGTCAGCTACCGCTATTGACATGGCCTTCACATTCTTTCTTCAGTGATTTGCAGTAGTATCTTTTTTTCTCCTGCCTGCCGCTCCACCTCAAACATACTACCCTACTGAATATAATGTCTACATATTCCTGCCATTAGTAATCATAATTTTCTGTTGCATCCTCATCTCACCCAGCGAGAATTTAACTTGGTTCATCTTTCCAATTTCATCTGTGAAGGACAAAAGACTGTGAAGGAGATGCCATAATACACATCAAAGTTCTGCATGTGAAAGGGTGGCAGACACGAGGAAGACGGGGACACGAGGATGTGGAAGCCAAAAGGCGCTGGATGGGGAAGCGCTCCCTCGAGGAATGCTCTTCGCTGTAAGTGTCGATTCGGTGACTCCAATTGAGGTTTGTCCATCGGTGCTGACGTTCATAGGCTGTAGGAAGTGAAAGCGCACGAAGGGGTTGAGGGTAGAATTTAGCGGAACAGCATAGAAAAGATACGCGCTAGGGCGGTGACCTTTGACTTCAGAATGAGGAAATATTGCTTACCCAGTGGTGGGTGAGGCCTTGAGATCTTTGCTACTGAGTTAATAGATGCGCTCAGGGACTTGTACTCACAGCAAAGGGAGGCTCCGGCCAAAAAATGCGTGTCCCATGAAGCGGGACCATAAGACTCATGGAGAGCAACGAGATGGACCTGCAAACCGAGGTCAACGTAAGTTGTGACTAACATGGCACAGACAGCTTCGTAAACGGCAGGACTTCATGTCCTTCTCGCAGTGAGAGTCGCCTCAACGCTGGCAAATACTTTGTCGTTATCGTCTGCACGATGTGGCCCGGCGTTTGCGAGGTCTTTGTGACTGCACCACATTGATTACATCCCAGGTTTGTGGAGTGATCAATTGATCGATGATCTTTGCATATGTGCATGCCCATCTCGATTTGTCAACACCGCAAGGCACCTATTGGAAATTTCCAATAGAGCACTAGTGCAGTCCAGCTTCAATGGAAAGGCTGACGTGTTAATCGGCTGGTTTGCATGTCCATTATAAAGTGAGCAAGTTCCGCTTGTTCCTTTCTTCCAAACCCTTCCTCAACATTCAACCGTTGTCTCGTTGTATATACTGGTATGAACCATGTTTAACATGTATATTGGCCGATTTGTTTTAGCACTTGAAGGTAAAGAACTCACAATACATCGTTCAGTTTCCCATTTCTCACGTATTGCCGTATATATACAGTTATCGCAGCCACGAACCTTCCCAATGTTCCATCTATTCGCATGCCCACTGGCCATTATGTCATCGTCTCTACATCCAATGGTCAATGGAACACCACCACCAAGGCTACAGCGCCTGACTGCAGCGTTTCGTGGAACGAGACGTTCACTATCCATGGGCACCCTCTGCTGTCTCCCCTGCGTCTCATGCCAATCTTTTCCAGAAAATCAAAAGCAATCCACCTCGAACTTCACGCTTCGTATGAATCTGGACCAAGTGAGTGTGTAGGTGCATTTGAGACGACTTTCGGACAAGTACTCGTAAACGACGTGCAGACCAGTAAGTCCTCACCCTCAGCAACATCATCGTCCCCTGACGGCAATTTTAAAGTATCATGTCCAGCTGTTGGTAATCAATACATGTCTCTTACCTTGAAAGCGCAGCGAATAAAAACAACGCAGCTTGCCGATCACGCCGCGGGCAGTGCTGCTCAGGTATAAAATTGATTCAATATTTTGTGATCTTTGCTAATTCAGTCGACTTTCAGAGCGTTGCAAGTGATCAACCTGTGCGCCCTCCGGCGGCGGTTCGATCGATCGACATAGCAGGACAACCACCACTACCACACGCGCCATCGGGTGACCCTGAAGTGCGTGTTTTGAATTCAAGTCACACCTTGCTTGCTAATAAAGTATAGCAGACGTCCCCATATGGAAGAAACATTGTTATTTTTGGCGAAGCTGGCGCAGGCAAGAGTTCTATCATCAACACAATCGCGCAAAAACAGCTTGCGAAGACATCCAATGACGCACATGGATGCACTTCCACCGCTCAACGCTACCCAGTAGAAATTTCAGGCCAGAAATTCGTCCTGTTTGATACTGCGGGTCTTGGAGAAGGGTCTCCGGGCTCAGTGCCGGATGCGGAGGCCAAAAGGCAGTTGAAGAACTTACTGTGTCGTCTCATGAGCTCTACTTCGCCGTCAGGTGGCATCGACCTTCTGGTGTACTGCGTGTCCAGCACGACTGCTCGTAGCGCCATCATTCGGGCCTACGACATGTTTTACTCCAAGGTCTGCAAGAAGAAGGTCCCGATCGTCATCGTTATTACAAGATTGGAGGACGAAACGAACATGGAGAGCTGGTGGGATAAAAACAGGGGTAAACTTAAGAGCATGCATTTCGCAGGCCATGCTTGCGTCACGGCGCTTCAGGAATACCCAGGCATCCCAGACGATCACATTCGTCGCATTGCAGAGTCGAGTGACACTCTACGTAATCTTCTTCTCAACAATTGCTCGCATCACGCTGTCAATGATCGACCCAATGGTATTGCAGGATTGTGGTGCGCGTCGTCATGCTCAAGGGACTGAAAATGACCATGACTTGTTCCTGTATATGTTATTTTCCTTGTCATACATGGCCGGTACACTCCTTCACATCTATTTTGGCTCGCCATATCCACACCATCTCATTCTTTTATTCCTATTTCTTTTTTTTTTCTATCAAGTTGATATTGTAGGCTAGTCCTCTTCCTTGGATACAGAATCACCTCTCTTCGGTTCTTTGATTGATGATCGAGGTTGTTGAGAATACTCATGTTTATGGATGTACTATTAGTATACAGTTTATTGAGAGTCTATGCAGTTTCTTCCTCTACTTACTACTAGGTGATAACGGTGAATTTTCAGTAACCTTATGTGAGCTCCGCTTGGGTTGTACTCGGACAGGGATCATTGTGATATCCTACGTCGAGTCAATGGTAGCAGCTATCGATGCTAAAAGAGGGTGTATGCATCGCGTGCTGTATCAGTACTGAGACCGATCTTACTCTTAAAATTTGACTATATTAGCAATGATCGTAAGTCGTTGAATTGATTATGCCTGCACGATACCGTCCGCATCGTGGTGTGGTATTTTTACACCGTGCCTCCAATTCAAGGGATATGTGCTGATTATCAACAACCGGGAGTGACACTTCGGGACCGCCGTCAGAACAGCGACATTGTGAGAGGTAAGAACTTACCGGACTGACCGTCGTGTGCAAGTCATCGCTATAAAATCGTCTCGACTGTACTCGCAGGTTCGCCTGGATCGAGCATTTCGCAATGAGGCGCAAATTTTGAGGCGAACTTCTTTGGAGGAGCTGGAGGAAAACATCAACGGGCTTCCACAGATCGTGAGGGTCTCATTCCAAAAGACACTACAGTCGGCAATTGCAACCTTGATGGCGGTGTTCCACTGACCATAGCAGGTGACCGTGGAGAGAAGAACATAATGGCCCGCTGGCGTGCGATTAGATTGAACGGTAAGATCTGGCCAGCAATCACTGCATGCATGCGAGATATGAGAAACATGAAATCGAAGGATAATCATGAAAGGCACAATACTTTCCAGTGCTGAAGCATGTCCGCCCAACATGTGTAGAACTTATGTAAGGCCTGCTGCCTGCCAGGCTGCTCGAGGCCAAGCGGATGCATCATCAGTATTTAGGGCGACATGCAAGCTAAAAATATCCGTGAGCATTTGCAATCCGCATGTGTTCATGAAACTTAACGTTAACTGACCTCCATGTATCGTTTCCAAAAATTTCAAGCTCTATCAAAGTAAAAAAAAAAAGCATGTACTCACCTTCTTCTACTCACTCACCCGCGTTCTCCTTAATATGATCCTGCCCCTGCCTTCTCCTCTTCCTTCACTCACTCCACACCTCGCACCTCAATCATCCAATGCACTCGACACGTAGTCTGAGATCGGTTGGCAAAACTCAGTAGTTTTGCCAACAACACAACGTGTAAGGTAGTGGTTGCATCAGAAAGGCCTTTATTGACGTGGGTCACACGGTAGCGGCCTATCAATCTCAAAGTTGCTTCCTCGCAAAATTTGACATTTGTCAAAGCTTTCGACAAAGCAACCTTTATGTTGGAAAGAAAGTCTTTGTTTTATGCCCACTTGGCTGTACAGTTCTTTTTCTTTCTTTCCGTACACATATAAGCTTGATCTCTTTCAAGGAATGGGGGCATAATCTTACCTAGAACACTACCTCAGGAGGTATGCTAGCAATCACACTGGCGCAGAACGCGATCCTAAGCACGCAGCTCGCGTTTCCTAGCGGTTCGCAAGCGGACTCAGTTCAATCGCCTGTAAGATACGCCACATGCCCTGTTCATTCGTGATCTGACATACAAATTTACAGGCAACAATGCAGACTTTTAGTACCACATCTACATTATGCTCAGCAGTTCCCCCGACCAATGCTGGATCCAGAGAAGTTAGGGCTATCCCAAAACCGCGGCCTAAGCGCCGACTCAAGCCTGAGGGACCTTCAATACCCGAGCACATCAAAAACCGCGACCTACAATGGTTTAAGGCACAACTAGAACAGCTAGCTGCTGCCCGTAATTCAAAGATAGCAAGTCCTGTGGCGGATCCAACTGGTACGTTTGTATTGTTGAATAATGCAGCAGGGGCCCCTGCTGCAGAGAAGCCAAAGCCGTCTCGCATGCCAGGGAGGATATATCCGAGACCGTCACTCAGTGGACCGATGACAGCAAACCAGCCTACAGCTGCGGAAATCATTTATCAGACGAGTACTTTTGCCCGGGTTCCAGCTCCTGTGGACATCAAGCGATCTAACGGAGAAAGAATCACGCCCGCTGTAACTGATATTAATATGAGTGACTCACAACTGGAAAATGTTCCTCGAGATCCAGAGAAGCATCCCTCGAGCGCGCCAGAAAACGTTGCTCCCAATGTCACTATGTCCTCGCTAAAGCAAACCACGGATTTCCTAGCTTCAACGAAGCCACCTGGGACACCCTCGAACCATTTAGTAGTCAAACAAGGCGAATTTCAGTCGTATCCAGTCACCACTCCGCAAGTTAATTCCCCGAGATTTGGAGGGCAAATGGTCATGATGATTTATTGGCGAGGACTTGCATCGGCTCTCGAGACTCTTAACATCACTTTCAACCTCGATTCACATTATTCCCAAATAGCTCAGTGGGCGAAGTCGAAGCATACCAAGTCCTCACTAAGCTCGTATGTGACAATTTTATCTTGTCTGTACACAAATTTAACGGTTCACAGAGATTTGGAACAAAGTGTTTGTGTGTCGTTCGCTTGCTATCATCTCCCCAGTCTTCCATTCCATCCACTAGAAGGTGATAGACCTACGCCATGCTTTGAGACACTGATGTACTCGCCATGCACGTGGCCCACATCTGGGGACGTTTCACTGCAGACGAAGCGGAACGGGAAGGATTTTATCATTCCGCTAGCTCCACCGCTTTTCGTGAGTATCAGTATGCATACTAAATTACAATGAAGTTGAAAGGTTCGTTTTGACAGGTCACCCCAGACAATTGCATCGACATCTCTGCTTTCATCAGAGGTGGAGAAAACAAGTTTTCAGTGGTCCATCAGAGCGACATATCTGACTATTTGTTTGTGCTCCACGTCCACCATCCTACGCCGGAGCAACTTAGCTATCTCGCTTCGTGCAGGCATAGACGTGAGGAGTGGGTGAAGAGCATGAGTGATCTTCGCAAATTTGAGCCGAAGGAATCGTCATGGAGGCAATGACTGCCGTCCGAAGTTATATCATATCTCGCTATATCGGTTTATACATTACATCCGAATTGAATGGACTAGAGTATCAAGTTTTGTTAGATAAGTTTTTGGTGCTATATAGGCTCGATAGCGAGTTGATTTTGCTGGTTCCATGGTGCTGTCACCGTCCGAATCGTGACTGAGGACCATAATGTGTCTCATCAACTAATATATGTCTGTCAGTCATCGTCAGACCGGGACATGGCCTCCTGTTGGCCAGCCGCGTAACAGCTTACCTTTGAGCTGTTTACTCCTTCGATATTATCACCAGTGACGGATCTACATCCATCTCGTGCAGCATTCAATGTTGATGCATTGATGCTGCTTGCACCGATACACAAGCAAACTGAAGGGTGTCTGGTCTCGCTTTTCAGCAAGGTAAGAATTCCAAACCAAAGACTCGTGCCACCAAATAAGTCACTGAATGAAATGCCTGCATCGTCAACTCGCAATTTCGAGACAGCGAGAGAACATCATCGCTATCAAACTAAGGAATATCCAATACAAGGAATTACATCAGTGTGGGTATCATTTCATTCCATGCGACCCCTCAGCCAGCTCAAAAGGCCCCTTGTCCCTTCCCTTTCCCAGACCCTCCTCTGGGGTATACGGAATCTACCAAGCACGTAAACATGACCATACAATCAACGCACGCTGAATCACTCACAAGTTACCATCCACCAAGAAGACATCCAGAGGCAAAAGACCAAGTTCTGCAGGAAGCTTGGAAATCTCGTTGTCTCTGAGGTCTAGTTCTTCTAGTTTCCAATCTGGCACCGAACGGTTACCTTTGAACAGTTCTGCGATGGCCTGGAAAGCATCAAGTCCGTCTATTCGATTGCCACGGAGTCTGAGATGCCTGAGACCTTTACGACCATTGGAATTATCAGCCAGGATGAGGGAAGACAGGGCGTCCTGCTGCAGGGAAGCTGACGTAAGAACGTTGTAAGATAGATCCAACGTCCGAAGACTCGGGAAAACGCGCGTTAATAAAGGTAGAAGTGTATCGTTGGAGCGCAGAGAAGTAGCCCCCGTTTCAGCTTGACGTGTCACAGAGATCTGATCACCGAATCCACACCCATCCAGAACGAGTTCCTCCAGGCTTGGAAGTAAGACCTCGCCAATGATTGGAAGAGAAGCGCAAACATCAAATTTGCGGTTGCTTAACACGAGAGTCTTGAGTGTCTGTGCGAACGATTGCACTGATATAGCAACGAGGGGAAGTGTCGGTGTAGGCAGGGCAAAATCTGTTTTACCTCGAGAGGATGGTGGACTTGAGAATGGAGTTGCTAAAGAGAAGGATCGAGCGTGAGACTTTGTCGGGGCTGAGAGCGGGGGTAAAGTAAGTGTTTGAGTGGTAGCCTTGTAGTATTGAGGGTTCGTTAAACTTGCGGTCGGTGATGGTTGCGAGAGGCTAGCAGGCGTGGGCGGTTGTCCGTGCCCGATAAGGGGACTAGGTTTCGGAGGTGGTGCAATATCCGCTGCAGACATTGCCGCTGCCGCTCTTGCCCGTCGACGTCCACCCTCTGTTAACAAACCCTGTTCTGCCTCGATCTCCCAAGCCTCCTTGACAACATCTGTATTGTTTTGGCCTACGTCTGTTTTGCTGGGACCAGCGCTTTCCGTACTTGTCACACTTTTAGGCACACGGCTCTTCACCCTTCTCTCCGCCTCTACCTCCCAAGGTTCCCGAACAACCTTTTTGCCGATAGACACCCTCAGAGTACCTTCTGGCGGCTCCTCAGTAGTCAAATCGTATGTAATGTCCTGCTTCAGCCCAGATAATGCTGATTGCAAGCCTTCCATGGTTGCCCGAGTTTCACCCATATCAAGGATCCGCAACCGAGGAAAACAATGACTTTCCGAAGTGGATAAGTTACTGGGGAAGGCATCATCACCGATATCGGCGGTTTCACAGCGAAGTTCCTTGAGATGTTCCAAGTGACTGAGCGCTCGTATAAATGCAAGTGTCGAGTTGGAGTCTCCTAAAGCTAGGGGATTTGCGGCAAAATCAGCTTTTGTGATCAACGGAGGCAAATTGGCATGGTCTATGGTGGAAGCGGTGAGTTTGTTATGAGACACATCCAGGACAGAAAGGCGTGGCAATGGCGACGAGGCTCTCGTGATGACAGGATCAAAGAATCCCCCGGAACTGAAGGTATCGTGTTGCGCTGTGCGTGAGGGAGACTTCAAGAACGGGGCACCAAAGGAGAGCTCGCTGAGGGCATTATGGGACAGTTTCATGACCGTGAGATTTGATAAGGCGAAGATATTTGAAGGTAGTGCTGTGAGGCAGTTATGAGAAAGATCTAGGGTAGTTAAAGCCGTAAGGTCGGCAAAGGTATCAGGTAGGAGAACAATCCTGTTTTGATGCAACTTGCGACGGACCACATATAAATACATTTATCACGGGAGGACGTGGTCAACACTTACATCAACGGTCTTCAGTGATCCAAAGAGGGAGATTTCGTGCTGTATTTCGACAATATCGTTATTCCATGCTTTGAGTACATGCAAGTCTTGAGCTTCAAACCACGCTGGTCCTTCTCGTTGGCCAGTCCGCCTGGACGAACATGGAGTATCCGTGGGGGACGATATGGGTGGCTCTGAAGCTGCAGACTTCAATGGATCAGGAGTTATCCCCAAATGAATGTCAAATAAGGCAGAAGGAATGCATGGTAGAGAGCGAGAGGACAAATTGATGGCACCTGCAATAGTGACCTTGTCTGATCAACGGCACGCATCCGACACGAATCGTATCCACTCACCTGTGCTTCGAGCACGCTCGATGGTTTCTTTCACAGACCACCTCCCCAAATCGAGTGTTTCTTCTTCGTTCTTCTTCGGATTTACGTCTTCGAGGTTCTCAAATTCACCAAAGCCTGCGCTATTGCCAAGGCCTGAAGAAGTAGATATAGCCTTTTTGGCTTCGGCTCGCCTCAGAGCGACAGCTTCCTTGATACTCAATGGTGTTTTGGGAACAGGTGGTTCATTTTCGACAGGCGGTGGCCTACGGATAGCCTTAGACGGAGATTTTGGGACCGACTTAGTCCTCACGCGAGGAGAAGATACACTGGCAGCAGGCTTAGACGGCGATGGAGCTCGTGAGCGAGCAGGGGGCACGAGAGTCGTCTTCACCGTTGGACGTGAAGATGGTTGAGGAATGCGAGACATTTTTAGGTACTAAGAGTTTTGAGCTATATAGGAAGAGTTGACTGGCAAATAGAGAAATAAGTGAAAGAGGCAGAAGTTCTACGTTCGACGTTGATTATATTTGGGGTTCGTCTTCGGAACGGTGACTTTGTACTCCGAGTCACGCAAGTCAAACCCAAATCAACCGACTGTTCTTATGTACGAAGTGATTCAAGACGTCAACGTTTCAACCGTGAGTGTAGTAAATATGAGACTGAGGAATTATCAAGCGACAAGGGTGAATTCATATGACTTCCTGAAGCAGAGCACACAATAAAATATCCTACGTGTCATCCGATGATAATGGCCCTCCAGAATCGCCGTCTTCACCGTCATCATATATCCTGACGTTTTGAACGTCATCTGCAACCCTCGCAAAATCTTCCGAGTCACCTTGCTCCCGACGGTATACCGATAGATCCCAGTCTTCGGTTTCGTCTTCGTCGTCTTCGAACCATTCTGGATTGTATTGGAACTAAAATTGTCTTGGGTCAATAGGGGATGACCGCGTATTGTTCAGTACTACGTACCAAATCTCGCCCACTCATGCCCGAGTTCTTACCAGCTGCATGTTGCGTTTCTTTTGCTTTCCGCAGTGCGTCTGTTTCGGCTTCTTTCTTGTCCATCCTAGTTTTCTTCCATATGGCGAAAGTCTCTGGAGTGACTGGAGTTAGATTTGAGCCTAGTTTGTGGCGCTGTGGTTTCGCAACGTGAGATCCATTGGGAATTGCTTTACTCCTTGATTAGACTCGCCTGAATTTCAAGGAAATCTTCCAGACTGATGGTGTTGGCTTTCGCTGCCTCCTCAGCGGCCTTGCGCTCCGATCTGAGCACAAATCCAGGAGGTAAGGCATGCCTATACTGGCACTTTTCGCTTCCATTGGGGCATTCCCAGAACCACCCAAACCTTGAAAGAAAATGATTAAGTCAGTCAAACTGAAGAATTCAAAATTTCCGCACTTTTGAGTCTCGATGGCCTCAACAAAAAATTTGCACACGATCTATACGTACGTTGAGTAGAGGTCCGAGCGGTGATGCATCCCGACCCACGTCTGTTGTTGTTCTAGGATTGCCGTGCTTCGATAGGACTACATTCCGTAGCTTCTCTTCATCCCAGTTCTCCATAGTATCTGATGAAGGACACGATGAGAAACTCGGCCAGTTGACTCATGAGCACCGTACCTTTCATCTTGTCTTCTCTGTTATCCTCATACAAATTCTTCTTCTCCACCTTGCGGCCAATATTGAGATCATGGCTGAATTTGCACTTGTTACCCTTCTCACAGTTTCCAGCTTTGTAGAAAGCACAAAGCACCGTTTTTGGATCGACTCCAAAAGGTACCTTCTGCGTCTGAACAGGCTTGAACATAGCAGCTTCCTCTTTCCTGCGCTTCTCCTCCTCGAGTTTCGCTTTCTCGCGCAGTTCCTTTTCTTTCTCCTTTGCAACCGCTTCCTTGGACTTTCCAGTCATAGCTTGCTGCTGCTGCAAAATCTGCACCTGCTTCTGGACCCTGGCAGATTTATTTTTCTGTATACACGGTCAACAAAAACGTCAACAAAAAGCATATGATCATGCCTACATTCTTCATGCCGAAAGTCTTCGTGAAGTAACTGATCGATCAGTTCTTTCCTCAGATGAGCTGCATGATGATCTACCTTGTCCTCCTTCACCTTCGAGCCTGAAGGCACGTTCTGCTTCTTTGGAGGCATGATTAGGGTAGCTGGTGATCGTGAGTTAGTAAAGACTGTATAAAAGGTCAACGATGGTGCTGTCTATGGGGCTCCACGAAAGTCTGTCACTCGCAGATATCGTGCACACTTCAGGTTAGAAGGATGTAATTGGTAGTGGTTCTCAGGCTTCTCAGCCACTGCTGACAAATTTTATAAAAAATGGTTTACAGTTTCACTACTACTAAGTCAAGGCTTAGAATTGCTCATTTTGCACTCTGGCCTGCGGAAACATTCACCTTCCTTTGCAGTTACCGGTATAGTATCAACGCTGGTTAGATAGCACTCAAGCACGAACTGTTTGCCAGTGGTCACTCTTTTTCCTTCGATTTATATCTCATCTTCCACTGTAGAATCACTGAGGATGATCGGTAATAGGTATGTGGTTAGGTTCGAGTCTATCGACCCAAGTCACAGTGACATACAGTTTTACTAGTGAGGTTTGTCTCCCTGGTATATTATGTCTGTATCATTGCGTTATTGAGGACCATGTCGGCGACCATCTAATGAATGTCAATGGAATTTTCTTCATCTTGATCGCGCACTGAGTCTGGATCCATCTCTGAAGGCACAAAATTCGATTCTGAGAAAACAGGCTCAGAACATCTCTCATACGAAATTGTGTCATATATACAGACTGACGGTCAGCAATGCAAAACAGGTTGCCTTCATTTGATCCACTACTTATTGCAACCCTGTCAACCGGCGGCGTCAGATCAAGTCACCAATGAGGAGCACGCTATATCACACGGAAATCTGCTGTACTGTGTTACTGCGCTCAAATTGACCGTAAAGACCGCAGAAGTGGTCCGCGCTAAAATCCAGACGATATCAAGAAGGCTGCCGCGGCAGGGCAAACTCGGGGCACTACCTTGCGAACCAGGTCCTGCCACCCATTCAGTGAGCCTATGGAAGGGACAGACAGGGCACCCTTGGCCGAACGTCTTGGTGACCGTCGAACCACTCGTGCTTCCAAATCAAGCACAACGTTTCCAAAAGGACTGGATTGGGGATGTTATCGCATTAGTGCTACATGCATGCTGTAGCCTGTACAAATGAGGCCGCAGTATTCCTCTACAGCACTCACTTGATATTCACTGGTCGCTCTAATAATTCCATCTGGATTAAAGATGACGACTGTTGGATGAGTTTTATCCTTCGTAACCTTGTAAGCTGCATGTGCATGCTAGCCATCATGATTGAATGAGGATTTTCGCGACTAAACTCTGGGTGGGCATGGATCGACGATTGATGTCTTCCGCTGGTCTGGGAAGGAGTGCTACACGGATTGTTGGATACTGAACCGAGACACTTGCCAACGACATTGTCTGTGTAAGCGAGATTCTTTAAGATCGCCATTAGTTGCAAGTCGAGACTCGAGAGTAAGATCGCGTGTCCAGAACGAGTCGGGCTTTAACGGTAGTCGACACCGAGTGTATAGAGCTGACGGGGCATGAAAATTCATTGTTCAATTCGGCTATGATGAATCATTTCATTAATGAACTTCCTGCTTGGACTTCAAATGCCTCCGTCGTTCCATGGGACCAGCGAATTGTTTATTCGCACAGATGCGGCAGACCCGAACTGGGATGCTCCCCACGGTAACACTGCCTTTCTGCATAATTCTATTTCTGTTTACACTCAAAATTTATTCCCTCACAACTGCAAGATGAAGATGGAAAGGACGCTTTGTCAATAATTCTGGAGCTTGGAAGAGCTGGTGCTCAAAACAAAATCGAAGTGCCCTGGGGTGACTGAAGACTGTTATGCGCGAACTTTACTCGCACATGTGGTCTATGGCATGGAATACCTTCAGATACAAAGAAACGAAGTGGCCGGGGAGGAAATCGATATCTTGTATTTCAACTAGTATGGCGCAAATTGAGATATTCCTGCGTCCAATGAAGCCAAGTGGATGTTCTGAAGAGAGCTTTGTTGCGCTGGAGGGACGGTAAAAGATATCATTGTAGGCCTCGATAACAATATTCTTGTTTTTCCACCTACAACCGCTCATGCACACTGGTAGGGAACGAACGTGTATCGGGGTATGGATCAAAGTCCTGGCGATTAATTCGTAGTGGTAAAAGATACTCTGCACCTAGGGAAACATATATCAGGCTCTGAGAAACCAATTTCAGCGACCGAACAATTTACCTGACAGAAAAAAAAGATACGACTCAAATCGATGACCACAGTGAGCTGAGACACTATGTAAATGATAGCGGAAGAGTTTATCTGACCGAAAAACTGCATGACCTGACTGACGACCAGAACTGATAGGGTGGTTGGAACTTCATGAGAGTACCTGCGGTACCTCGCACTATCTCCTGTCACAATGCAAAGAGATCATGAGTATCTTAAATAACTTTGAAAGTGATCATGCGAAAAAGGGAAATTTACGTTCATTAACAACTTGTTCGTTTCCGAAGCAGGTTTTCTTTCACACTTGTATTCTGTCTTAATCTCCATAGCTTTATCCCAAGGCCCTCCCCAGCAATGCTACGACGTGTCCCAGACGACATCAAGTCTATCTCTCTGTCAGCACAGTTAATTTGAAGGACGACTCACTGAACAATCTTCCCCCACAAAAGTGACGTGTTTATTCAACGCATTAACGGCGGTGCGATAGCTGCTTCGTTCTTTTGTGTGGTTCCATGTTGAAGGGCCACATGGCACATGTAATACCCCAACCACACTTGACGCGGATGCGTGATGGTGAATCCGAGTTGACTTCACATTGACTGAGGAGATGGTTGAACCTTGGGTCACGTGGTAGATCCACAGAGGATCCGGGCCGCATGGGATACCCAGTAAGCTGATGTTCTCAACGTCACACGCAAGATCTGTTGAGAGCCGATGTGTCCGAGGGAAGTAAGGCCGAGAGAGAGAGAGCTGAGAAAGGAAAGGACGATACGGCCGAAGAATAGAGCACATCGAGTGCGAGCGTCTCCAAACGGAGAACGTCGACGACGTGTCAACGTCGGCAATCTTTTCGTTCTTTAAGTATATATTTTTCATCAAAGCTATTGCTGGCAGACTCACCGTATAAGAGGACGCTGTTTTCGTCGAAACGTCTCAGATTCGAAACGAATACTGAGACGTAAGTACAAGTCCCACTGTAACGTTCGAGCGCAAGCGCTGACGTACATCTAGTCGTACCTTTGTTCTAGGTACAAACAATTGTTAATAGAGATTCGAAACGAATACTGAGACTCGTACCTTTGTTCTAGCGTGTCATAAAACCTCCCGCGTGTATCGTTCCTCCACAGGTTATGAGCCCTGTCTCCTCCATGGACTTGTCGACTCCCAGCACCAATTCAAACCTTTTTAACATCCCGAAGCTCGCCGAAGATGGCTCGAACTGGATAACCTACAAGGAAAGGACGTTAACGGCTATAGGTGCACGAGGACTTACGAGATATACCGATGGACGAGCTAAAGAGCCTACGCCTTTCGTAAAGAGCTCTACGGGGGCCGTTACGAAGCCGGATGGTACAACACCTACGCAGAAAGAAATCGATGAGCTCGACGCAAAGACCGATGAGTATCAACAAAAGAACTCACTCGTAAAACAGCAAATATTTTGCACGATCACAGATCGGCTGCTGTTACGTGTCCAAAAGTTAGCATCCGCGTCCGAAATCTGGAAGGAAATATGCCACATACATGAAGGCAAAACCGAACTCGTCCAGATAGATCTGAGACGGAGGCTCCAGGAGACGAGGTGCGAAGAAGGTGGTGACGTCAAGGCTCATTTTTCAGAGCTTTTGCGCCTGAGGGAGTCGTTAGCTGGAATGGGGGTAGCCGTCATTGATACGGACTTTCATGCCATCATCCTAGGGTCCTTACCTGAATCCTACCGGCCGCTACTGTCGTCGATGAACGCAGCGGCCAAGATAACGAAAACTCCCCTCTTGCCCTACGAACTCATCACCATCATCACAGAGGAATACGAGCACCGGTTACTCACCGAACGACGTCCCAACAAACGCGGGACCAACAGTGCGCTCTCCGCGAGAACAAATGCAGGGAGGAGCACGAGCTCGCAGAGCTCGGCTCCAAAATCCAACCCCGACGCAGTCTGTACGAACTGCGATCGTAAGGGCCACTGGAAGAGTGACTGTTGGCGAAAAGGTGGAGGAAAAGAAGGTCAGGGGCCGAATCAACGGCAGAGACAAGGAGGACGCACCCAAAAACAAAGTGCCAATGTAGCCAAAGAGCCGGAGCCAAAGGACAACTACGCTTTCGCTACGTCAGACCTCGCAGTCATAGCAAAATCGATGGACGTACCTCCAGAGCGCCGAGGAGCAATAGTAGACTCCGGCGCGACCTCTCATTTCTGCCCGGATAGGGCAAAATTTGTATCCTTCGTTGAGATCGCCCCGCAGAAGATATACACTGCGAATGGAGCTACTGTCAATGCGACAGGACGAGGAGACGTGAGGATGGACTTACCGTTGGGCTCGAAACGAACGACCGTGACGCTAAAAGACGTCCTATATGCCCCCTCCATGGCATTTACCCTTATCTCCACCAATAAGATCGCCTCCGCCGGTTTGGCCGTGCTGTTCGAAGGAGGAATGTGCAGGATACTGTCTGCTCCCCCCGAACGAAGGACGATCGCAGAAATACCCCAAGTCCAGGGACTTTACGCTGTAACGTCCGACCGTAAGCATCGTGCCAACGTCGCCAGGACAAAGCTTACCATCAATGATGTCCATCGTGCCCTAGGGCACGTATCACATGCGGCCCTTCTTGACGCAGTCAAGAAGGGCCTAATCCTGGGCATAGACATAGATCCGGCGCCCGCCATCCAGTTCTGTGAAGTCTGCGTGAAAGCTAAGTCAGCTCAGCAGTCCTTCCCAAGAGAAACGAAGATGCGCGCACTTACATACGGAGAACTAGTCCATACGGACCTCTGGGGACCGGCGCAGACGACGAGTTTGGGAGGCTGTAAATATTATGTCAGTTTCACGGACGACTTTAGCCGGCAGACGCGACTCGAGTTCCTCAAACAAAAGAGTGACGCACTTACCGCGTTCAAGTCCTATGAGGCATGGGTGGCCCGTCAATCACCAGGTGTGCGCGTGCGCAAAATCCGTTCGGACAGAGGAGGAGAGTATCTGAGCGCCGAGTTCGATCAATACTTGCGTCAGCAAGGTATAGAGCGGCAGCTAACAGTGCACGACTCACCCCAACAGAATGGTGTCGCCGAACGACTCAACCGGACACTCGTCGAGCATGCGAGAGCAATGCTCCTAGGCAGAGATATGCCAAAGTACCTGTGGGCCGAGGCCGTTAGTTACGCCACTTGGCTCAAGAATCGCCTACCTTCAAGGGCGATCCCAGGTAGCACGCCCTACGAGTTGGTGCGCAAGTCCAAGCCGGACTTGTCGCAGGCCCATGAATTTGGGGCCAGGGTCTTCGTCCATATGCTGGAGGCTGGTAAGCTGGAGGCGAGGGCGGAGGAGGCAGTTTTTGTGGGGGTAGACGCTGAAAGTAAAGGATACCGGGTGTATTGGCCCGGCAGACGGCGTGTCTCGGTGGAGAGGAATGTGACCTTCACGCCGATCCTGGCAGCCGATGGTATGCCGGACGAGGGGGAGTCTGCTGTAGTCAACGAACATAACAGCGGCAACGGTAATAATAACTCACCTAGTAGCGTCCAGCCCATCACCATGCCACAGCAACCTCAACCTTCTACTCCTAAGCAACCCCAACCATCTACTCCTCAGCAACCTCAACCTTCTACTCCTCAGCAACCTCAACCGTCTACTGCCCAGCAACCTCAACCATCTACTCCTGAAGCGAGGTCGACGAGGGTAAGACCACCCCCAGGGTACTATGCGGCGCTGAATGAGGGCCAAACGGCAGCCCTAACCATGGAAAGCCTGTTGGAAGCGTCAGAACTCGACCTCTTGGATGAAGAGGCGCATATTCACCTAGCATTGGCCGCCGTCCAACCAGAACCGACCCTCCAACAAGCCTTGAAGGGCCCAGACGCTGCAGAGTGGCAAGAAGCCATCAATTACGAAGTCAGTCAACTCGAGAAGCTAGGTACGTGGGAAATCGTAGATGCACCTCGAGGCGTAAACCTTATCCCATGCCATTACGTCCTGGCCACAAAGCGCGGGCCGGACGGCGAGAAGCTGAAGCTTCGCGCGCGCCTAGTTGCAAATGGGCAGCGCCAGAAGTACGGGGTCGATTTCTTCGAAACCTTCGCCCCCACGGCCAATATGAGCACAATACGTGCAGTCCTAACGATGGCTGCTCAGCACGACTGGGAAATACACCAAGTCGATATTAAAAGTGCGTACCTATATGCGAGTCTGCAGGAGGACATATATATGCGAGCGCCCCCTGGATACTTGAAGGATGGTCAGGAAGGGAAGGTACTGAAGCTGAAAAGAAGCTTACCTGGACTCAAACAAGCAGGATATGAGTGGGCGCAGGAGCTAGCTGGAGCCTTCAATGAAATGGGCTTCAGCAGGTCAAAAGTAGATCAAGCCGTTTTCTACAAACGCACCTCGCGCGAACACGTCGTCATCACCGTCTCTGTCGACGACATGGCCGTCACCGCCAACCATATATCCCATATCCATCGGTTTAAGTCCGAGCTGCGCGCGCACTTCGAGATTAGCGACCTAGGGGAGTTGAGCTGGTTATTGGGGCTGAAGGTGACGAGGGACCGCGTAGCACGCACCTTGACACTTTCACAGAAGGCATACGTCGAGACGATCCTCGAAAGGTTCCACCTGGAGGACGCGAAGGTCCTGCACACGCCCATGGAACCAGGTACTGTCCTTTCCATAGATCAGTCCCCTGCAACACACGCCGAACTCCAAGCTATGCGAGACATACCATATCAACGCGCGATCGGTTCGTTAATGTACGCAGCTACGAGTACCCGGCCAGATATCGCTTTTGCGGTGGCAACACTGTCGCAATTTATGAGGAATCCGGGGAGACCCCATTGGGAGGCCACCAAACGCGCCCTGCGGTACCTGAAAGGCACCGCAGACTATGAGCTGACGTTGGGATCCAGCGAGGGAGGAATTGAGGCGTTTGTCGATGCCGATTGGGCATCGCAGCCACATAGGCACTCCATGAGCGGGTACATCGTACTGCTCCATGGAGGCCCCGTTTCGTGGAGCGCGCGCAAACAGCCTATCATAGCCCTGTCAACAGCTGAAGCTGAGTACATAGCGTTGACCAGCGTGGCAAGGGAAGTACTTTACCTGCAACTCCTCATCCGCGAGCTCTACGACGTCCAAGACCTCCCCACACCCATCTTCTGCGACAACCAAGCTGCTATAGCGTTAGTCTCGACGGGAAAATTCCAATCGCGCACCAAGCACATAGACCTGCGATACCACTTCGTACGCGGCCACGTGAAGGACGGTACCTTCAAGATAATCTACTGCCCCAGTGACGACAATGTCGCGGACGCGTTCACGAAGCCATTGGCACGTCCCCGACTCCAGAGGTTGAGGACATTGATGTGTTTGGATAACGCTCGAGGGGGAGTGTTGAGAGCCGATGTGTCCGAGGGAAGTAAGGCCGAGAGAGAGAGAGCTGAGAAAGGAAAGGACGATACGGCCGAAGAATAGAGCACATCGAGTGCGAGCGTCTCCAAACGGAGAACGTCGACGACGTGTCAACGTCGGCAATCTTTTCGTTCTTTAAGTATATATTTTTCATCAAAGCTATTGCTGGCAGACTCACCGTATAAGAGGACGCTGTTTTCGTCGAAACGTCTCAGATTCGAAACGAATACTGAGACGTAAGTACAAGTCCCACTGTAACGTTCGAGCGCAAGCGCTGACGTACATCTAGTCGTACCTTTGTTCTAGGTACAAACAATTGTTAATAGAGATTCGAAACGAATACTGAGACTCGTACCTTTGTTCTAGCGTGTCATAAAACCTCCCGCGTGTATCGTTCCTCCACAAGATCTTCAAGTTGCCATTATTATAAAGGCTAGCACTCCTAGTCATGGCTCTTACCTCGTCGTTGCTGGCGTCGGCGACTCCAAGTGTCATCGCACCAGCAGACATTACCATCGGTCATGTGTAAGCTTCTATCCTTCGTGGTTGCTCGTCACTAAAACGTTCCGTAGGCAACTTCGAGATTTAATCATATGTCCACGCGAGGCTGGGATCGTCAATTACGTTCATAACAAGTCGATTATTGAGCATGACCTTCATGCTCCAGACTTGGTGCGTTTTCATTTATCCTTGTCTTTATGTGATGTAAGGGTCGCAGGACGATTCTCATTTATGGCTCCTAGGCACCAAGACCTGTAGCCGATCTCGCATTCATCCCAAACACACTTTCTTCTTTAACCCTTCCTGATTCCCCGCACACACTCCTCGCAGCAGGTGGTCAGGACACCGAGATTCATCTCTCACTTCACAGTCCATCGCGTACCCGTGCGCTCTGGCAATTCTCCCGCAAGCTCAGTGGAAGCATCAACAATTCCGTCCTCCTTTCACGCGCATTCGACAGTTCTAATGAACTACGACTTGTTGTGAGTAATAATGACTGGACAGTTCGCCTCTACGACGTGCCCCTCCGAGCCCGTGGGGCACAGGACCTCAGATGCTGTGGGGCCCTCAGGCTCAAGGAGCCTGTGAATCATTGTACGTTATCATCCCACGTGTGAGTAAATAACTCAACCCTATGGACATGTACAGCCTCCATATCGCCCGACGGCCGTACCTTACTCTCAGTCGGAGACTCTCCTCGGATCTACCTTCACTCTCTTTCAGGCAGCGCTCGGCTTTCCTTCAATCGCGTCACAACATTGCAGATCCCGTCCGCCATCTCCATCCATCCCAACTCTCTCGTAGCGTCCTTTAGCACCGCATGGAGCGCCGACGGACTTAAGTTCGCTGTTGCTTGTCAAGAAGGAGTTGTCGCAATCTGGGACGTGCGAAGCACAAAGCCGCTAAAGGTGCTGCATACGGGTCGTGAGAGGGGCGGTGGTGATAACGGGTGGATGAGTGATGACCCATGGGACTGGGCACGCAGAACCTCACGTGCCCCAGGATGGGGTGCGCGGAGCGTCAAGTTCGGATGTGGCGGAGTTGGCGCGCGGGCAGGCCATGAGGTAATGACGTATACTGAGGTGTGCACGAGTTCGGAGTATTCTCGTTTTATACTCAGGCTGATCATGGGAATTTATACAGCACACCAATCTCCTGCACGTCCTTGATGCTCGAACATTCGAAACTGAAGAAATCATCCGCGTGCCCAACATCTCTTGCAGCAAAACTCCTCCTGCTCATACACGCACCCTTCCACTACTTAGGCATTCAGGAGGGCGACTGAGTGCACGTGCCGCACGCCGCGACGACAGCGTTGTCGTCATACCTCCGCACGGTGTACTGCCCCGGACGACGTCATGGACGAGCGCACCGCCCTCGAGGATGTCAGATCGAACAGGTGGCAGTGATGAGGGCGATACGATGGACCTCGATGAGCTCGAGGTGGACTGCTTGTCACGTGGGGGCTCGCCACCTCCAATGAACTTGCACCGCACCCCAAGCCCATATCGGCCCATCAGCCCATCGCCTCTCTCTTCCCAAACATACCGTCCCGCAAGTCCGCCGTATCGCCCCTCAAGCCCTCCGTACGGCCTCACAACCACAACACCCGTATTTCACCCCTACCTGCCAGTGCGTCCGCGGCGAACACATGGGGAGGAAGGAGAAGTCGATCGTGCAGGAACGGTGGCAGAACATGAAGATGCGGATATTGCGGGGACGTGCTTCGATCCAACAGGAGGTTTCCTGTACGTGGCGACGACGGCTGGTGTTGCTGAGTGGGCCGTACGTGGTTCGGAAAAACGTTGGTGGGGAAGTGGACAGTGGGCTTAGGGTCTCGTTCGTGCTTCCCCTCACATGTTTCAATGCACGCGTATGTCTTTTCAGGATTTTGGGACGTGTTACGAATACTTCTCTGCGGATCTGGTCATATGTACTCTTGTGCTCAAGTGGTTTGATCTACTACTCTGTTTCGTCGGATTATTACTAGGGTCATATTGCTGTCTTCCTATCCCTTCTTTGTTATCGTCCTTTCATGTGCACTTACTCACATCATGCTTTCTCGTGTCTGATCGTACTCATCTCATGTACTGTACTAGTTGCATTTCTATATTCCGTTTCTGATGTTTGTATACGTACACACCCACGAACTTGATACCAAACACGCTAGTGAATTTATGATGTATCCATTTCTGTTGTACACCACTCTTTCATTGTATTATTGGGGCTATCCTTGGTAGAATTTCTGCCAAGGAATAAGACTTTCGATGCTTTGTCCCGGAAGGGGATGTGGCATAGCCATCATGCTTCGCCCCACACTTTCCAACCTCGACTAACTTGGATCATGTACTTGTACTCAATCGAAACCCCAAATATTATTATCGACGCTCTCTCAGCTCATGAGAGGGTAACCAATGATATGGCATTTGATTAGTCCCATGCAAAATTATCGCAGATTGCCAGTGCTGTGGTTGGCTATCCACGGCACGCGCCTCCGCGCTAACTTCTAAGCCTCAAGTCACGCGGTAAGCATGGATTGTGCTGATCCCGATCCGCCAGGTATTGCGAATATACCTGAGTACTTACTACGTGATATAAACACGCATGACAACCTTTGACGAGGAATGGAGTTAGACTCAGGCGATCCTCACTCCGTGATGCAGACCAGATCTCATTCTACTTCGAACAGATCAAACTGCCACTTCGATGCCAACTGCAGAAATTTGAACGTCTTATCTGGTTATGACATTGGCTGGATCGCGCACACCAGTCTTTTGATCTAGTAGCCGTTGAATTATTCCAACATGCGGGTGTCCGTAGTACGTCACATTATCTCCATCAATTATAAGTCTCACTAGATGGATATACAGATATAGCCAGTTCGAAGATATTTAGGGGCCCCGGCCCCAACGTGCCACTGAAGCTTCACGAATCGGTAAAGTGGCATGACAGATGTACGACATGTACGTAGCAACTATCTCCCAACACCTTTGAGTTCTCCGCTTGCCAAGGACGGCCAGAGGACCAAGATAGGGCGTACTTCTGCAACCAAGCTTAGCTAGATCACTGCGCCGGGTGATAATGATGTGGTAGTAGGTAGCTGTTTCCTCGACAACATTACGACCTGGAGAGTCCAGATTAATTTGCAAATCGTCAGAATCCCGCGGACTTTTCGCTTGACAAAACGTAGATTTCCGCGTACATATTCGCATGCAATTACTGTTGGGTGTGGTTGATAGCGCTGAAGATCTCGTGACGGCGATGTCGGGACGTCAGAATATTAGGATGCGCGAGCGATTCGTCTATAGCGAACGTTGAACGACGAATTTCTAGCTCTGGAAGGTTGAACTGCGGCCCTCGTCTTCCAAGAACTGAAGCTCCTCGGCCGACCGAGATGCGTGCTTGAGCGACCTGACTTAGGATTGGACCGGCTGGACCTTCCACATTCACGCGATAGACATCTCATCGCTTGGTACCGCCTGGACCGCCTCTATTATCCGAGAACACACGTAACATTGGACCCATAGAGTTAGTTCATCAGCTCCAAGTAATCCGATTGACACAAACAGTCAAGTAATTTCCCGTTGTATAGCAGTACTGCTCGAGGGCGGTACATAGAAGTATTAATTTAGATTCTGGAATCCACGGGCAAATTGTTGACACACACCGCCACGTGTACCCTTCTTAGAGTTCAGAAGTTGTAGAACAATTGTAGAAACTCGTGAACGCATGTCCGAGTCATCCGTATTATGTCGACATGGGAGATAAGGTCAATGGGGCAACGACGGCGATGGCTATGAGGCGCAGATCGGATGGCTAAACTGTATACCAAGGCTCAGCACTCAGCGCTGAGCGCTGAGCAGCCCTAAGCTGACTGGCATTAAAAAGTGACCCAGGGCACAAGGTTGAAGTTGCCAAGGCATTGCAGTGGATTGTCCCAATGACAGCTTAGTAAGCGAATGAAGTTCCACCAATCAATTACATAATTAGTCAGGTTCAAGTTCTTCATCATGAGCACCGACGAAACGTCAACCGTAGTGGTAAAAACAAAGCCAGTAAAAAAGCTCAAGCCTGCGCGCAAGCAAGTGAAAGCGGGAGATGTAGAAAGGAAGGAGACGCCTCAGACGGGGAAAGAATATAGTAAGTGTCAATGATGTTGTCAATGAGGACTCTTCACGAGCGTAATTGCAGATATCTGGTACAACAAGTGGGCTGGAGGTGACCGGGAAGATAACTACTCCAAGTGAGTTTAATGCGTATCTATCTCTTATTTCAAGATCTGACTCTGCTGTAGCAAAGTAAAATCGCAAACTCGGTGCAATATCAAGAAGGACTCAGGCCTAACTCGAGCGAACACGACTGGTATTCGCTATTGTTGTCTGTTCTATGCGCGTGGGTGCTGTCCGTATGGATGGGAGTGCGACTACCTTCACACTCTTCCTGACCCTGATAACGCATTACCCGATTCGAGTAAAGATTGTTTCGCTCGAGACAAATTCTCGGACTACAGAGATGACATGGGTGGTGTCGGTAGTTTCAACCGACAAAATCGAACATTATACGTTGGTCGAATCAAGGAGACCGGCCCAGGCCCGGAGACAGAAGAAATTGTCATCAGGCATTTCAAAGAGTGGGGCGAAATTGAACGCAGTAAGTTATTGAAAGTTTCTGTAGAAACAGCATCTAAAACACATCCCTACAGTCCGCGTGCTACAGTATCGTAGCGTTGCGTTCGTAACTTATGTCTCGGAGTTCGGTGCACAGTTTGCCAAAGAGGCCATGGCGTGTCAATCCCTTGACAATGATGAAATCTTGAACGTTCGATGGGCCACCGAGGATCCCAATCCGGTACAGAAGGTGGCTGAAAAGCGGCGATTGGAAGAAATCGGGCAGGAAGCTATCAAGGCGCGGATGGACCCTCGTATTGTTGATGCCATGCGGGCTGTCCGTGCATTAGAGGATGGGGATATGCTGGATGACGAAGGAGAAGTGGTAGAAGACCCGGAATCTAGCGACCCAGAGGCAAAGCGGCGGCGAATTGAGCTGCCACCGCCACAAGAAGCGACATCAGAGCCATCACCTCAGCCCCTTGGTCTGCTGTCAGCCGATACAATGGAAGGTCTCAAATACTTTGCCGAAATAAGGAAGCGGAACGGCGTCTCGCTATCTGTTGTACATCCAAAGACAATACCTCCGAAACCATTGACTTCAGGGCTGGGAGTGGCGGACTACGGGAGTGACGAAGATTGAGGTCTGTTCAGTTTCATTTGCACCAATCGGTAACTAGTCTGATATCCGACCTGGCCAACAGCCCTTAATCTGGTCATTTCCACAAGCTAGAACCGCCTCCTCCTGCCAGCCGATAACCTTCGAACGTGATGAGCGCTCCGACGACCCATGACGACTCGTTTCGGCATAAATTCGTAACTACTATCATTGGGAAAAGAGTCTTCCTTCGCTCCATTAGCTGGCACTCTAGAAAATGTAAAAACGTTGCGCAAACATAATGAAAACCCATATACTATCGACTTCCATTCCGATTATTTGTCACAACTGGTACATAGACTGGTCATTTCGATCGTTGCCGATCACTTAAGATGAACTCATTCGCCACTCTTTGCAAAAACAGATCCGGGCCTGGCAACATGTGCCTCCTCTCGCGCCCACAGTCAGGCACCTTGGCCAGGTTGATAACTTCCAAACTCCATAAACGGAACCACGAGGATCAAAATATACCCCAAACCTCAAGGCAATTGGCCACCTTACGTCTGTCACCGAAGCTCTGCAAAGTCTATTCCCATGAATGCCAGAGCCCACATCTTAGGTGCCCCGGATCTATATTTCACCAATCTCCACGTTATGCCAGTGCATCGGAGGCTTCGGAAATGAGAGATTATGGCCGTACTAAATGTGGGTGAAACGTCATCTGGGTTCATGAACGTCAGTAACCACCTGGGGTTGGTGACCAGAAGCGACCAAGAATGGAACAGAAGAACTCAATCAGCCATTTGGATGAACATTAAGTGGCCGGCGAGTGAGTCGAGTCCCGTCTGACTCCGATTGCAAACCGACAAGTAGGTGCAGGTGGAGGGACTCAGGTGAGTCCGATTGCGGCAATATTCCTCAGCATGTCAAACTAAGCAGCTGGGGAGACAAATAGTACGTGCTTGTTAGTTCAATGAGAACGGGCCTAACTACAAGTGACACGGGGATCTGCGTGATGGGATTATCCACCACCAAACAATTCATCTTGAGGCAAGCCTCGGTCAACTATGAGTATTCCGTTGCGGGGGAAGCCGCTGTGGCAAGATCAGGCAAAAACGTAATAACTCATGTTACAAGACAAAAACTCCCCTTCTAGGGCCATTGCAATGGAATTCTAAAGACATTGCAATGGAAGTGTACTCCAGGGGAATAAGCTGTGAGATCCCGTTGGCAAGCGTGACGTGCTAGAAGAAATTTGAATCGTGAAACAGAGATAGACGCTGTGCTTACATACCTGTGCATGCAGCCCTGAGGGGCATGTGACGAGTGCAGCGCCACGTACACGTTGTAAAATGGCGGCGATTATGCGATTACTTTAGGCATCGTTTGGCGTTGGTTTGGCGGGTGATTGGCCGCTCGAGCTCAAGGCCAAACGAAGAAGCATTGTAAAGCAAATCATAAGTGGGCCCTGGACCGTCCTGCCTCCGTCTGATTTGCCACCTATGTAATATATTACTAGAAATAAATCTGGAGGCTGTGAGTATGGCATACCCAAAATATTGTTTTTTTCCACCGACATCGGACAGAAGGCGCCTGATATCATGATGGCGCGGGCCATGCTGCGGCAATGCAAAGCGATGCATCCCAGTAATACCACGAGAGTTAATAACCCGATAAATTGTGCTTATACAAGGTGTCCGTCGTTACTATCGATGCGGCTTGTGTCATGATCTTGAATTGTGGCAGGTGGATATCATCATCTGGACTAGCGAGTGGTTGGCCGTATGTGAAATTGTGGATGAATATAGTGGCAGTGCTGCCGTTTCCTCACTCAAACTCCCAACCATCTACTCTGAATTTCTCTTCAGAAAGCACAGCGTTTTAGCTGGTTGGCTGGCTCATGACATGTTCGAGAGTCTCATGGCTATCCAAAAGAAATTCTATGCAGATGTTCAAAGCGCTTTCCCCTCATTTCTCCCACTCAGCAGTGATAATTGAGCCCGGATAACTTGTGGGTTACAAGCAGGTTACAAGTGCCATGGCACGATAGAAGTCAAGTTTGCCATGTTCCGAATTGCACGACTGCGCTCAGTATTTCGGCACCTAGATGGAAGGCCAGATCTGTCAGATCTTAACCACATCTTGCCAGAACCTTGTGGAGACAGGCGTTTTTGGGCGTCTCCCCAAAAGAAGTTGCCGAGGTTTGTGATACCGTATAGTCGCCTCGGCGCTGGCTTAAATAGGATCATTTGTAGGGGGCTGGGTCTCTATTTAATCGCGAGTCATCTTGCTCCGTGGTCTGTTATCCGCTCACCACTACAATGTCTTTCACCAACAACGGTCCCTCTCGTCGTGTGCAGGTGACATCGCTCCCTCACATTCATCTAGAGTCACCTTCTGGATCTGAACAAGTCAGACGCGCTCCCGCACAGTACGTTTGTTTTCATACTTTCTATCGTTGACCCTCAACTCATACATCAGCTCGCATAGGCTCGATACTGACTCCTTTCCATATCCCATGTACAACAATGATCTGCCATTTACGTCTTCTTCTACACTTTTTCAAGAAGGATGTAAGTCTATGCACGTCGTGTTGTATGCTCGAGCTGAATAGATTCCCAGCTGAATCTTACAATCATCAATTCTCGCAATTGGAGGATATAAGCCCTGATGATTTCCTGCAACTTCTCAACGAACCTCAGCAGTCGCAAGACATGTATTGCCCAATGCCATTCATGTCTGGTCCTGATTTTTTTTCGCCGTCTCCTGATACCTTCCAGGTCATTCCACCTTCCCCACCACCACAGACGATGTTACACAGTACAACTGACAACATGCGCCTTATACCCATATATACCCCATCGCCCACCTCATCCTACACCACACTCTCCCCCAGCCCCAGTCACGAGTCGCCTTCGTCTCCATGGTCCGAAATTACCACCCCTTCTTCCGAGGGTAGCGTGTCTCCTATGATCCCCCATTCAAGTCTTTCGCGCCGGGGGAGCTCGGCTTCTCTTCGACACCACCATTCCCCAAGTGATTCCACATTTTATCTTCAACCCCCGGCTGTCGGCAGTAGGCACGTTCGCTCGCATTCAGAGTCAAGCATGACTCGTCCCGTCGCGAGTCAAGCCATGCTTGAGGCCAACCAACGACGTCGGCGCCACGACGCTACCCATAGGTGCGATGAATGTGGGCAAACCTTCACAGCTGTGTTTAGCTTAAAGCGTAAGTTCTATATGTCAAACTACCTCTTTCTACGGTGCTGAGATAAATGCAATAGGTCATATGCAATCTCACTCTGGCGTCCGACCATTTGTCTGCCGCGTTCCTGGCTGTAGTCAGGCGTTCTTCAATCAGAGTGACTGCAAACGCCACGAACGTAGCAGGAAGCGTCACAAGGGTCTTCCTTTTTCCGACTCACTTTAAACTTGGCGTCATGCTACAACCCTTTCACTCGGGTCTGCCAAACACCGCGGTCGTTGTACACGTCACGTCGGAACTGGACACTCCTTTATGCGCATTCGCGTCTTGGGCATGCAGGAACGATAGCTACACCTCTATATCATCCTTGCTTCATTCCCCATCATGCCAATCTTCAAATTCGACACACTCGATGTCTCATCTCATTTCGACTATAGATACCATTGGCCTTACATACCCTAATTTTTTGTGCCGTTCTCCCTATCCATACAATAATTTTGTTTGCCTTTTCGGTCCCCTCACTGCCAATTGTTGCCAATAATTATTGTATCATTCTTGCTATGTATCTGGATCCTGAGTTGCTATGCGTTGTCAACTGGCCTTGTCAACGCAATGTCCTTATTCTCCTTGTTCTCCTTGTTGTACTACATCCCGCTATGTAGTCTTCGGTGATAATCTAAGATTGTTTAGTTGTGCGGCCATGGCAGCGCCGAATCTACCCTAGTCAATTGCAACATTACTTCCCGCACATACCACGAAACCAGTAGAACAATTGGTTTTATGAATCTCGTAATTAGAAAGTTGACATTTATATCATGGGTACGTACGCACACTTGGTGACCAACTTCCCCGCGGACGCCCGTCAGGTAAGTCATATCATTGTTCTTGCGCTGAAACCTAGATCAGACTTAATAGCGGACTCGATAACCCGGTAGCGCATGGCGGATGCTATTACAATCAAGCCAAGCTCGAGCTAGAAACCTATTTTATCACTGTTAACTTTGTCGACAATGATGGCACACATGTCTGTTGCGCGCCCGTCTCCCTCCGCGGAGCGCCCCACGCACGCACACCTATACGCAGACACTTGTCGATCGAGTAGATCGTTCCTTTCAGGCCACAGCAGATCAACCGATGGCGTCCTTGCGCTCATGATCCGGTTCGACATCTCAAAGTTGACTTATCTGTGGCAGTCCATTGACCTATCATATGTTACACGTGGGGACGGAACCGCGGAGGTGACCTTGGTAACCACAATTTTGCGTTACCGCAGTTGAAGCTTGTTGAATCCTGAAAAGGGGCCGCCAAGGAAGGATTTATCGTGTGATCCATATCATCGCTATAATTGAGGACATCAGACCTGGCAGATCTGATGACATGTACGTGCAGCATCTGGGCCCATATTGAGTGGCCAAGAACCCTGAATAACTAGAAAGTTTGCTCCATGTAGAGGTCATAAAGAAGTCTGGTGACGAGAGTATTGTGCTGTGGTGTGTCAGGTTTAGCTAGCGTCGACCGTACTTGTCATAGTGCATTCATATCAGCGTTAATGATAAGAGACGCCACCACACACCAAGAAAGTTGACGTTTGTTAAGTCCACGGAAATCAGGGAGCCGCTGCTGAACGGTGTTGCACAGCTGAATCGTAAATAAGATGATATTCCCTTTGCGCACTAAAAATATTTGTCGTGATGATCCGTCTGGGAGATATGTTGCCTACTGACGGTAGGAGAGTGCTATCCATCTTTGCAAGGCACATGAAATCCAAGCGTGAGGAAATTTCACGAGATATAATTCACATATATCATATACACTTTTCAAAACGACAAGCTTTCAATTTACATGGCGATATAGCCATATTTCCTCGCGCCAGACTAAGCAGTGCCTTTCGCGTAAGTGCCAGTCAGACACGACGTATTGAAAGACTCACAGAAACGAGAACGATGTTATCTTCACCGATCATAGCCGCCTCCCAGTCGTAAGGTGAATCACTCGACATCACTTCAACAGTCGCAACACGGCCAGGAAGATACGTGATGACTTCTTCGACAAATGCAGAACACCGCGAATTCAGTGGCTGGGGCATTCCTAAGCGCGTCCACAGAAGTTTCGGTTCCGTTGTTTGTTCGTTTCGAACATCCCTCCTCGCTGCGTACTTGTTGAAATCATACACTCTTGCGGTATTTCCTTTTTTCCATGGCAGAAGTTGAATGAACTTCATGCCGTAGACGTAGCAAACCCAGCTATCGGACGGGCTGCGAAGGAGCATATAAGAGCCATTTGGGCCCCACTGCTCCCATGGGACAATGCGTTTTTGTGTATTACGAGACAATTCAACCTGAGCCATGATGGTGGACAAGGCGACGATTAGCACAGTACACTCTTCGTTGGAATTGCCTGCGGGGGAGACCCGCATGGTGATGGTGAAGATGCGGTCACTGCGAGCGGAAAAAAAAGGAGTTTGGACAGTTTGATGCGGGGACCATCCTGGAGTCGGATCAGATCGAATCAACATATCTAGAACGTCGGCCTTCATCTTTGGATACTCCAGGCCGCAAATGTAGCTGACATCCTTATATTCCTCCATCTCTTCCCTGAAACTGTCGATACTGAGGATGTCCAAACGAGGCATTTCGTCACTTTCCGCGGCAACGACGCCAACCAAAAGTAAGTCTTCTGTGACGAAAGAAAAAGATTGAAGGTCTGTGTCTCGAATGAACTTCGAACAGCTCTCAATAATCAACCTGCAGCAGCACGCGTGGAAGACGTACGAGCTTCCGCTGACCCGATTTCCAGTCCCAGACAACTAGCTGAGAGTTGGAATCATCTCCATGTTCTTGACACAGTATTGCAATCCGGGAACCGCAAACTTGGATAAGGAAGTTGAGCTCCTCATGCATGTCTGATAGCAGGTGCGTCACGAAGGACATGGTAGCCATTGAATGATGCTCGCCGGTCATCAAGGTTCTTAGGTGTACGTTGCATGTCCGGTTCGGGCTGTGCCATTTAGTATCAGACGTGCTTCTCAAAACAGACGCATCAAAACGTACACGGCACCTACAATTTCCAAAGCGACAATCAAGTCCTGAGATGTATCGATGGTAAAATCTCGGATCGCAAATCCAAAATCATTGATAGTCCATTCCCGCTCGGGAATGTCCTTAATTTTGCAGGGAAGTTGCACGAAAACAAGCCCTAACCGTGACCGCATGGCCTGACACAATACTCCCCCGGACAGTTCCCAAGAAAGACCACCCTGCATATTTATGATTTGGGAGTCTGGAAAAGCTAAGTTGTTCCAAGCCTGCTGGTATTGTCGACAGGCACGAAGGCGGCCAGCAGTATCAAGATTACAGTGGCGTCCATTCTCGAACCGTCCGAAAAACAACTCGACTTTGTAGAGAAGTTGCGCGTTGGTGGTGATGACTGAACGAAATAATTGGCATACCTGGAATTCAGTGTGAGTAGCGGTTTGAGTAGTATACGATATGTGCATATACGGTACATACTTGCTTGCATCTCAGGAGAGATACTATATCGAGTTCATCGAAAACTATAGCGATCAACTCGTTCGGGAGACTGAATGCTGCTTCTACATTTCCCTGCTGGTCAGTGTCCATGACCTAGGCTGAGTGAACCCTTTGCCACTGAGATGGTGTTGGTAGCACTATGTAATTGAACGAGAATTTTTGTGAGGCGGTTCTTGAATGGGCGAAGAAACAAAACATTTGTGCCACTCACCGCTGACCAGTGCCAAACTATGCTGGAAAGATCTTGAAAAATCACCTTGTTATCTTGCTTCGCAAATAATGTTGGGATCAGTTGGATGATGGATCTCACTAAGAACACAACTCGAACACAGCTATGACATAATCAGATGAACCTTCTCACTCTCCTGACGCATCCACCAAGGCACTCCCTCGTCCTTTTTACAGGGAACACGTCAACTTATGCTGGAGGATTGAGATCGAGGTGGTGGTGGTGGTGGTGGTGTTGAAGTCCGATGAAAGCAGTGAGGTACCAGGACCGACTCGTGTGACAGATGCTCGGACTAGGTACGAGCGCAATGAGTCGTTATTTCAGGCGTGCCTTTGGTCTCAAATCAATATGTTCGTATCTACTACTTTAGCCGTACTTAAAAGAACGCCTTCGTCATCCCAGCATCTCTGTCATCTTCCAGACACTGAGATGCGAGCATTACATTTCCGTTCCTTTGGATAACGAGCCAATAATGATAGGACTCTTCCTCCCCCTCGCGTGTGCTTGCCTGTTACAACTTTAGGCACGTATTCTGAGTCCCCCCTCGGCTCTCCTCAAATCCGCTGACCATCCCTTCGTCTCGTCCACAGTTGCCTTCAAATCCTCGATCCTAAGATTCAGCATCTCAAGAGCATCCAAACCCATAGGCAACCGCTTCGGTATCTTTCCGCCCTGTACGACCTCATACACAGTCTGTGTGAACTTGTCCGCATCTCCTTCAAAAACCACACCCTTTAGCATCTGACGCAGCACGGAACTCGGAAGGGATTCGTCGGCGTATGCTGGGTGCTGCGGTAACACCGTTGCCCCTTCGGCTCCTTTTGTGTAGAATCCTCCGGGTTCAATGATGCAGACCTGTTTTCTTGTTGTGAGTACAAAACTTATTGGTAGAGCGAACAACGTGCATTTATGTTCCAGGAAGCCGGCAGCTCTTTTGCGAGACCATCTGAGAACCCCTCCAGCGCTGTGCATTAAATCAACCACCAACACTTTCCAATTCTCTCGCATCAGAATTCTTACCATGTTTTCTGCAAACCCATCAGCATCATCTCAAAGAATATCAAATTCAAACCGCACTCACGATGCAGCATAATAACTCAACCCAGGAAGCGCATGAAACCCAGCAGCCGAACTAACTTGAAGGATTATCCCCCCCTTTCCCACTTCATTCACCTCTCTAAAAAACTTCACAGCAGCACGACTAATGTTCGTCGCGCCCCAAAAATTAGTCTCGAAAAGCTCACGCGCTTTATCATCCGGCGTGCTTTCGATTTCGGTGAGAATTCCATATCCGGCATTGTTGAACACTACGTCCAGCCGTCCAAACGCCGAACGCGTGCGCGCGAATGCTTCGTCGATATCTTCTTGCTTCGTAACGTCGACTTTGAGTACGAGGAGCTTGTCTGATGAGTATCGAGCTTCGAGGTCGGTTAGGACTTGTGGCTTGCGGAGGGTTGCCACTACGATGTCGCCTCGGCTGAGTGCATACTCTGTCATCGATCTTCCGAATCCTGAGGACGACCCCGTTACTGTGTGTGGTGCTTAGTACCAGTGAGGTTGCTAGTGAGCAGAGGAAACACTTGCTGAACCAAACTTTGGAAGAGGTCATTGTGACTTGTTAACAATGTAATGATCCCCTGCTCTGGCTGTGGCTTTTATGCGTCCTATCGTTCATCAGGGACTTGAGCATTAGTCAAATACATTCTGTTTATTAATGCGTCCGACAGATAGCCGACAGAATATCCCTTTGCGCAGTTGAATGTACATCATTTTGACACATATAATCGATACTTGGTAATCACCGTGATCTGCGCTTACTGTACTCCGCAAAGTCTCGGGATATACATGACTAACGCTTTTCGGAGTTGGGTTTAAGTTCATTACGCTCTGGACCAACCGCGAAGATTCACGCTCTCAGATCCAGCAGGAGCACTCCTCGAACGGTCTCAGGTCACGTGTCAAAAAATTAGTGGAGTCATCGACCCTACCAAAGCAGACAACTCTCAGAGCCGTGCCCTGGCGCCGGTCACCTATGATTCTCACATATCTGAATTAGCCCAACAGCACTCTTTCTGCCACTTATTTGCATTGTTATGGAGCAGTGAGCATCAGCGGTGCTCCCCAGCTCACTTATCATTGACGGGTACTCGGACCAAGTTTGTTCAAGGGTCGACATTCTGTTTATGCAATGAAATCGGTACCCGCGTGTACATTGCATATCCAGATGACCCATGCTATATCGTACTTGTCCCATACATTCCGCTGGGACTATTTTGCCAGGAGGTAGGATTGCATAACCCATTGAATATGTGAGGTTTTCGTTAATGTTGCAGACACGTTTACCAAACTCCCTCATCCCAGTTTACAGAAACTACGTCGACTCATGGGCCTGGAGGCTTGCGATTGAGGGGGATGTTGAAGTTCGATGAAAGCAATGAAGCACCAGGGCCGACGTCACAGGTGTTGGACTCGCTCTAGTATGAGCACAATGAGTCGTTATTTCAGGCGTGCCTTTGGTCTCAAATCAATATGTTCGTATTTCCTACTTTACCCGTACTTGAAAGAATGCCTTCATTGTCCTAGTGTCTCGGTTATTTTTCAGATACTGAGAAACGAGCATGTTTCTGTTCCTTTCGATGACGAGCCAATGTAGGACTAGTATACATTATCGTTCTAGCTCTTTCTCCCCTCACGTGTGCTCGCCTGTTACAACTTTAGGCACGTACTCTGAGTCCCCCCTCAGCTCTCTTCAAATCCACTGACCATCCCTTCGTCTCGTCCACAGTTGCCTTCAAATCCTCGATCCTAAGATTCAGCACCTCAAGCGCATCCAAACCCATAGGCAACCGCTTCGGTATCTTTCCTCCCTGTACAACCTCATACACAGTCCGCGCGAACTTGTCCGCGTCTCCTTCCCAAAGCGCACCATTTAGCGTCTTACGCAGCACGGAAGTCGGAAAGGACTCGTCAGCGTATGCTGGATGCTGCGGTAACGCGGTTGTTTCTCCGATTACGTTTGTGTGAAATTCCCCGGGTTCAATGATGCAGACCTGTTTTCTTGTTGTAAGTACAAGTTTATTGTTAGAGAGAACAACGTGCATTTATGTTCCAGGAAGCTGGCAACTCCTTCGCAAGACCATCTGAGAACCCCTCCAGCGCTGTGCATCAAATCGATCATCAGCACTTTCCATTTCCCTCGCATCGAGATTCCTACCATGTTTTCTGCAAACCCATCAGCATCTTAAAGAACATCAAATTCATACCGCACTCACGACGCAGCATAATAACTCAACCCAGCAAACGCGTTAATCCCACCAACCGAACTAACTTGAAGAATTATTCCCCCCTTGCCTAGTTCGTTCACCTCCCTAAAAAACTTCACAGCAGCACGACTAACGTTCGTCGCGCCCCAAAAATTTGTCTCGAAAAGCGCACGTGCTTTATGATCCGGCGTGCCTTCGATTTCGCTGATAAGTGCATATCCAGCATTGTTGAATACTACGTCCAGCCGTCCGAACACCGAATGCGTGCGCGCGAACGCTTCGTCGATATCTTCTTGCTTCGTAACATCAACTTTGAGTACAAGGAGCTTGTCTGCTGAGTATCGAGCTTCGAGGTCGGAGAGGACTTGTGGTTTGCGGAGGGTTGCTACTACGATGTCGCCTTGGCTGAGTGCGTACTCCGTCATAGACCTTCCGAATCCCGAGGACGACCCCGTTACTGCGTGTTGCTTGATAGCAGTGAAGTTGCTAGTGAGTAGAAGGAACACTTACTAAACCAAACTTTGGGAGAGGCCATTGTAATTTGTTGACGATGTAATGATTCCCTTCCCTGGCTACTATGGCTTTTATACCGTCTTATCATTAACCAGGAACATAAGTTAAATGATCCGTTCATAACGCAAACGCGTCCAACTTGAACATCCCTTTGTGCCGTTGAACGTACGTCATTTCGGCACGTTCAAAAACAGTCAGTACTTTGTAATCACCACGTACACAACTTACTACTTATCACTGCATCCCGCAAGTCTCGGATACTAGGGGTCGGCGTTGCCGACGTGGACCTTGCTCACATTCCGTCTTTTTCTAGCTCTATCGTGCTCGTTTAGTCTGGCTTCGTCCCAGGATTTCTTCTGACATCACTATATAGCTACTACTACATTGTTTCTTTCAGTGTACTGCACTATGGTACCTTGTTTTCTGTCAGACTGTCTGTCCTCGAGAAACGCTTTTTCGTTTCCTCCGCGAGTCGCTCAATCCTGTTATCTTCTATCCGAAGGTCTTCGTTTGGATGTTGAAGGAATAGATCATTGTCGAAGTCTCTGAGAAGACGTATGCATTCTCGGCCGTGACTTCTGGATAGTGCGACGTATGCATTGAAGGGAGATAGGCGAAAACATGTCGTTCTTCCAATGTCCACTAAAACGTGATCAATCGTCTGTCCTTGTGCTTTAAAGTCGGTAAATGCGTAAGCTGGTGTTACAGGGAGTTGACGCCGCGTGATTCTTGTAGAAGGACCTGTGCCCATGGAAAATTTAATTTCGCAAGGTAACACTGGTATGTGCTGAGGCAGAAGTCCGTGCAATGGCGGTAAATCGCAGAAGTCGAGGTGAATGATAACAAATGCAGGGGGATAACGCAAGAATGCTCTCTTTGCTTCCACAGCGTTGCTCCCAATCTTTGGCTCTCTGGGATCCAGAACGATATCAGTAATTCTCAGTCTATACTCACTGAAAATGAAAGCACATTGATTGTCTGAGGTACTTAGCAGTTCAAATACGCTAGGTTGCATGGTGTTTCGATAGATAGATAGTAAATACGATGTTTAGGGGCGCGGCGTAAAATTATAGGATTAATTTTTATTTATTCATCACATTATTACCAACATATTAACAAAAAAGGGAGTTGTCCGAAAACGACGAATATTGGAAGGGAAGCGCGCTAGCTTCGCCCTGTGGGCGGAGCTCTGGGCGCGAGGGAGTTGCACGGTCTAAGTTATTACTTTGTTATTCAGAAAACGACAAGTATTGGAAGGGAAATCGGAGGTAGGTGATAAGTTCGCATCATCGTATCACGTTGTATGGCGTCACTGTATTTACTATTATTTGGAAATCACATAAAATGATCCATGTGAACCTGACCTTGCTTCGCAAGGTAATACATGACCAACGCTGTTCGGCCTTGGTGATTATCTGACCAGTGCAAGTCACCAACCATCAAACTGCTGATTCCTCGACTCGTAAGCAAACCTAGGCATTCATATTGTTCAGCAGGAAAAACGCAACGTTGGAGATCCAGTACTTGTTTATAAGATACCATACCTGTGTAAGCTGTGCTCGTGTCTCAGATGAAGCTGACAATTGCTGACTCTATAACTGGGTTAGGGGCCGCAGACTGAATTCTTAAGGAAAAGAGTGACGTAATGGTACAGGGTGATTTAAATCATTTGATGCATGTTACAAGGTGCAGACGTGCTTGATCGATCGATCTTGATCGGAACTCGGTACAAGATAGCATTGGCAAGAGCTTGGACAAGATATTTCTGTGGTACAGTAGAGTATTTGACTTCATTGACATGTATGTGGCATATTTAGACGACCCGTGCATTCCGCCGGCACTATTCGTCCAGGACGTAAAATTACATAACCCACAGCGGTTGAATTGCAAGGTTCTTTTGAGCTGCACCCAGGAATTGCGTAGGCATTAATCCTGGCCTTTGTTTTGGAAAGGTCGAGATGTAGCTTGGCGAGGAAGAAACGAGCAGTCTTATAAAGCCACTCTTGAGACCCCACATCTGAGCATCACGTTGCGGGGGTGGAAGAGTTCTATCGATATATTTTGGTTTGGACCGTTTCAAGTTGCTAAGAGGATCGGGCTGTTGGTCTTGCTTGACTTCACCAAGCTGAGCCAGAGCACTTGAGAGGGATACCAACAAACAGCGCCTGGACGTACCTGCATGCTAGACATCGCTCCATTGAAGCTTTGGAATTATATAATTGGAACTTAATGGACGACGCGTTCGGTGCTGCTTAACTCCTGAAATTAACATCGCCAAGGTCTCGACTTGTATAGAGTAAGTGCATTCATACTTGGGGTGAAAACAGTCGAAGCATTAGTGCAAGCCAAGTTCATGGATCACAAACACCCCAATATTGAAAGAGCGATCGGCCTGCCGATGTTCGTGCCAGGGATATCGAGTGTAGATGAATCGCAGGCACGATGTGCGAGAAACGTGAGAACATCCGTAGGTTCAGGGGAGTGACTAATGATTGAACTCGTTAGTTGAGGGCTGATAATCGATAATGGAGATGATATCAAATTCACGCAGCAGTACAGCATCACTTGCATCTCTGGATAATGACTAGCCTGATCGGAGAGGTGAGGACAGTGTATCCACAGCAGCTGCGCACGCTGCATGGGTGACCCTATGTACGAAAGCGGCTTTGAGTGCCGAACCGCAATCGAGGCGAGGCGTGTCTACAGGAATACAACATTCATGGAGGTACAAGGCACACAGCCATGCCGCGTCTGGAAACCAGTGATGGAGCTGAAACCGACTCAGGACTGCAAGTCTGTCAGCACGCGGTGCAAGTGACACCATATCATAGCTCCGAGTTGACCGTCGCTGCCTACTAGAAGACAGCCCCCAACTCGGTTGACTCAAGGTCGATATAAACCGGTAGAAGGCGACGATGAAAAGACTCCGTGATGCGGTGGGGGCTAAACCTAGAGTAAATGATGAAGTGAATTTATGTGACTTGGTGATTTGAATCAGAAATACGAAGACAGCCCAGCTGGACTGTGAGAATCCGCTCGACCTCCAAATTCAAACCCAGTCTTACCAGTCCGTCCGGCCTCATAGATGGACTGGTCATCGTCGAGTGAAAGGGTTCTGGCCACGTGCACCAAGTGGGCGTTCAAGCGGAGTTGTAAGATTGATAGCGCCTGCCGCAGTGCCGTTCCTTGAGCGCTAGTCCTCCCGCCACCACCTGCTTCTATGATTATATCTTTTTTCTTCTGCTTTTTCTTTTGAACCAATATTTCAGTAGACGGTACTCTAGCTGCACCCTCCTGCTTTTCAGCATCTCCCACTAATTTCTCATGCCTGAAGTTATATGCTGCTCTCCTGGGACCTGCACCTGCTGCCCTCTCACTTGCATTAAGTGTCATAACTAATGGAACCATCGAACACCTCGTGCTCTCGTACCGTCTACATGAACCCTCCCACACATTGTGCATGATTTGCACCCATGTCTCGTGCCCGACACCACACTCATGTGAACTCCCCAGTGCTCCTCCGCGGCATGACACTTATTATCTAAATTATTTCAGGTTATGTAAATTTGATGTATTTGTAGATTTCTTCGTACGACTTGAGCGGACAAAATTTAAGAATTCACTGATAAGACCGTACTACGACCCACCACGATCACCACCAGTTTAAAATTCCGCCCGAAGCCCCAGAATGACCCCTATACTTAGACTTTGAACGTTCTCGCGGGGTGGGATTGCAGGGCTTGAGCTAGACCACATGAGTAGGAAACCCTGTTGCTGATAGGACATTGAGCGGAGGAATTTAGTATTGAGTTTCAGACGACGCCAGACGATGTCGACGAAGTTCCAACTGGCAATAAACGCGTAAGTATTGACAAAAATAGCTACCGTGTATGTAAAATTGAATAATTAAGGTTTAAGCCACTTAATGTGAGTTTTGGCTATTGCCGAGTCGAGTCACCAACATAAGAGAACTTGGTATAATAATATCATCGATACGACGCCTGGCTCATGGCTTCTGACAACGTTGATTTTGATTTACTTGCCTAGTAATTGTCTTGCAGGCTGAGCAACCTGATCACTCCCTAGGCCTGAGGATTGGGACACGTGGTTCCAGTCTATGCATTGTGGCGGTTGTAACTGTACTTACAGTTAAACGCTGAGTCAAACATCGGAACCAAATCTAAAAATTCCAAGGTAACGTAAGTCTTCTAGGCTTATTTCTTTGCACTAGCCCCACTCTCGGTTTCGCTGATAATCGATAAGCACTGGCAACTCAAATTTTCAGAACAGCGATGGCCTAGAATGAGCCTGCTATCGTGAATACCCAGTGTCCGATCACGGATTTCTCCACATTGAGCATGTAGGTGCGCCACTAACCCAAGAAGAAGATTGCATCAACATCGCGGTACTTCTCCCCTTTCGTTCAAGTTCCGTTTTGAATTTACGGAATCGATGGCCATGGGGCTCCACAGAATGCCCACTGCCGACCTTACACAACCCGACTATCTATCCAACTTTGTAAATACCTCGCTGGCGACGAGGATCACCGTTCAACATGTCCGCATCCAGCATAGAACAGACTTTACTCGCTCAATTGACACAGCAGGGCTTTCACATAAGATCCTTTCGGCAACGAAGACTAGGCGCTCATCCGGTACACATTTTATCGACATTGACATTGTAACCACAGCACTGACAAAGTACCCGTTCAGGTTTTTGAAATCTCACTAACAGGCGGTCAAATCGTCTTGATGTGGTTGAGACCCACCTCTTCTGACATTGAATGGAGTCAACGGCTCTTTGAGAGCGAGACAACTCTCCTCCGCTGGTTTTCCGCACACTCCGCGGTACCCGCACCACGTCTTCTGCACGTCCTGCCAAATAGCGCTAGAATCGCTCGGAATGCTTTCGTCACGCAGGGTTTCACAGGTGAACCCATCAAAAACTTATACCCGACGCTGTCTTCACGCGCAAAGGTTTGTCTTCGTATGGTTCATTGTGTTATCCGGTCGCTTGAAAATGTTTAAAAGGAGCAACTGGTGCGGTTATATGCGGATTTCGCACTGAAGCTGTTCGACATCAATGTCCCACAAACGATCGGCTCTATCTCTGTCGCGAGTTCATCGGATGAACTCATCGTAATACCGCGGATTTACAATGCTAATCACGCCCATACCTCTGAGGTTTTTCCCACTTTGCAAAAATACCTCGAATACCTCTCCACATTGAAGACAAGACGCGCATTCACTTCAGACACCGGGGATGAGCATAGATTCCGAGCACAAGCATCCATATCACAATTAATTGCGCACCTGCGGGGGCACTTGACCCAACTCGATGAACGGTGTGTTCATCGCATGGTACTGGCACACGACGGACTGGGAGACATGAATTTGATGGTTGATTCCTCCGGCAACATCACTGCTATCTTAGACTGGTGGATGAATTCGACATTGCCTGCTATACTCGCTGCAGAGTATCCCCCCTGGCTCAGATACGACGGAATCAACGACCCTCGATTTGCTGCTCCGAAGAAATCGTGGCTAGAAACACCGGAAGAAAGCGCAAGACTACGAAGAATATACCAGGGGGTATGACTCGCCTTTCATCCTGATGGTTATTTGCTCATACGGCTACCGCGGCAGGCTGTGAAACACAATGACGTTTACTACACCGCACTGATGCAAGGCACTCAATTACGAGCGGCTGTAGGTTGGGTATTTGACATCGAAGATGACCCGTGCTGTGCAAGAATGAAACAGTGGACGCTGAGCGCTTTTGGTCCCCCAATTGGAAGCCCCCCAAATGATAGTCAGTGCATTATTACATAGCTGCTGAGTCTTCTATCAGCTGCGCATGGCCCGGACGTATTTGAGATAGTTCTTGTCCTATATTTTCATGTCTTTGATATGTATATTGCTTTTCTTGTTTAAAGTTTGATGCGGGCGTTCAGCGAAACTCTGTACACAACCTTTGACTCACACGCAACGATAATGCGAATAAGCCGTCAAGATGTTGATAACGATCTAACGACCTAGACAGGAACACGTGATACTGCTCTCCGTAATAAATTAAACTGAGCAATTGCCCATTCTAATGGTGGTGAGCATCATGGTGTTCCACGCCCTGGAAATCAAGTACATAGACTGCAAAATTTAAGCACAAATTCCACAAGAAACAGCCAAATACTCACCAGAGCCGCATTCAGGGCAACGGCGGTTTTTCTCCTTCTTAACAGTAAACCAATGCAACTCATGGCTTTCGGCTGGCGAACCAGTGCATCCAACAATACGAGACGTGTCCTAGAGTAAATTCAGCAAGACGCCACGATGCATCGTTACGACGCAAAACATACCAATGAAAAGACTTTAATCGGGTCTTCAAGGGTGCCCACACGACTCGAGTCAAGAGGCTCCAAGTCAAACGCTTCAACACCCTGCATCTCCCCAAGAAGCTGGAAACGCTCCAGACCAGTCGCTTGCTGCTCGTCGGAAGGAATTTCACCGGCCTTGGCACCCTCTCCGAAGAGTGAAGGAGGAGCGGGGCCCGAAAAACGGGGAGTGGTGGTGGAAAGAGCGCGGAGAGCGGTGGAAGGGGTTGACCTGCGCGTGCTACGCACGACAGGGCGGACGGCACGAAGGGCAGCGTTGAACATGATGCTATGAGGTTGAGGCCTGGAGCGAGTTGGGAGTGACTTGGAAAGTGTCTGTCACGTGTGACGGCGTGACACGCCCCCGTCTGCCTCCGACGACTTTGCAAGTTTTTTTTGCTCAAGCAGAGTACTCAGAACCTTGTGCTCAGACATCCTCCTTCTGATTGTAATATCTGGCGAAACGTTCAACTTTATGTCTTGGAATTTTCAGTTTGCGGAGCGGTGGTTAATTATCACTGATTGTATTGGACCTGGCAGCACCGACCCTGGACCTGCTCCCATGCTGATTGCAATATTATGGGGAAAAAACGCAAAAAGTTCAACGTTGAACTCGCGTCTCAAAAAAGTCCGAAGTAGGACCGGTCAGCATTAGGCTTGGAGTTGTCCTCGATCGCACACATCGAGCACCTCAACATGCGTGGCACCACGGCAACCACCCACATCGACAGTCTCTCTAGATTTAAAAGCGCTGATGCGGACATTCCGTCGCACGTGTCTGCTGTTTACTCATATCAAGACATTTGTATACAAAACCATCCGGCTGGCTCGGATTGCCAGCATTAATATCGTATCTCATAATGGGCGTCGCGGCGAGTGTCGTAACCTCGGCATCGATGACATTGCATTTCTCACCAATATCCTCCGCCGAAATCCCACCATATACCTGGACGAGCTACGACACGAGTCATGGACACGTCGTGATACGTATTTGTACATACCCTTCTCCGCATCGTGCACAGGCTACATTACAGCCACAAGAGCATGTCTACTTGTGCTCTCGAGCGTGAAGAACGACGTGCAATCATATTGCCGAGACAGCTTCTGACCCGAAAATGCGGATGTTCGCTGACGAAGCTGCGAAAGACGAAGGACGCTCATTAATGATTTGTCGATTCAGAAGTTCGAACACTGGAACGAGGTTTGCTTCATTTACAGCTTTGTATGTACTGTTTCTTCTCTGTGACCTTATAGAATGATATAATAATTGTACTTCGCAAACATAATTGTGAGAAAGTCGATTGGTAATTGGGCACGGAAACATAAGAAAATGACTTCTTTGACCTTCGTAGACTTCACTTCCTTGACTTTGGTTTTGCTATTGCTTCCTGTCGAGTTTTTGCATGTATGTATAACGATCTCCCACAGTTCCCGCTGCGGCCGGCAGTTTCACCTGAATTACCCAGCCTAATGAGCCATTCACTGGGAAAACAACAAGATACCCGATAGGGTTGACATAGAAGTAGGGGCGTGTACAATAAATTTGCTATCATATCACCAGTGAATGACAGATGTGTGAATACCCATCGATTAAAGGTGAGATCAAATGGAGGTGGGCAAGGGTTATTGATAGGCAATGCGGGCTCGTGTTGAATAGCGGGCTCGCACTTTACCTGATGTAGGCATCATATCTGCATATTACTTGTGTGGTCTACTTTGCCACCTGGATATTAGAGGGAGGTGAGGCTGGTTTGCTTCTGAATGATAGATAAAAAGAAGGGTGATTAATTTATGGATACAGTTGAGTTTTTTTTTTATGGTACTTCCTAGGATCCGTATCCCCTATGGCGGGCCATCTTATGTAGATGATGAATCCCTTCCCTCCTTCCCGCTCAACACATAATGTTCGCTAGCAATCAACATGGCTCCCAGTGTGGAGCGGTGCGATGGTGAATCCAGGTAAAAGCGCTGGAGGAATTGGATCAAGATATTCAATGAACGTATGGCAGAAGCTTGCCGTGCCGTGCTACAACTAGTGCCTTGCTTTCGCTACTATTTGTCGATGACAGGGAGTAATCAATTCTGCATGCACCTGTCAGCATATCAGATCGAATTCCAGTAAACTCAGCCCACCTGCCCTTGGATAAAGGAAAGCATGCATCCGCAGTTCCAGCTACACAGCAGTTCGACCTGGTTATGTGACTATAAAGAGCGATTTCGATCAAATAGCGCTAGTTCGTACTACATACCCATGAAAAAAATGGCAGTCCAGATTGCAGTCTTGATAGCCACAGACTTCGAAGTGCACTTTCCCTGAACAGGTGCCAATCATCAAAAACACACTGATACGCAACTCGGTTGGTGATCAAGGCCAAAGAACCCCGGGCCATCGAAGAAGTTGGGACCATGACTTGGGAGTTGAGTCACGGCTAGTGAGAAATGTGCGCCGGGTTAGCTAAAGACAACTAGGACAGATGGGCGACTTGATAAGCAGTTACGAGGTTGCTGGCAGTGGTACATGATGGTTCTGATGTCCTAATTGAAGGTTTGCGTCCATTCGTGGTGTTAGATGCTTGAATTTCGCCCATGTTGGGTTTGACTTTTACGCCTGGCGTCGGGAGTCAGATTATAGTGGAGTTAACATCTCATTTCCGCAGCGAGTGCGATAAATTCTGTCTGCCTTCGATGGTTGATGTGACTTCGACACCTGTGGCTACGTCTGACTTTTTTAAGTCAAATTCGGTCCCGTAGGTTGTTTCCATAAAAGGTAGGTGTTTACGAACGAAATTCCGAATGATGCGCTAGAATTTATTTCATGCCGAGAATGCAAAATGAACTGACAAGATGCCGTCTTACAAACTTATACATATACCAGTAACATTCAGCGAGCCAGAGACCAGTGGTGACGCCATCCCCCTCCTTTTTCTTCACGCTCACGCGCGAAACTCGCGTCTCCGCTCCTCATGTCTTCCATCTCACCAGGGTCCACTACGTTAGACATCCTGCGGTCTTACAGCCATCCTCCGTCCCCTTCAAGTTCATCTCCGGGCGCGACAGGACCCACCGATAGACCCTCAAGAGATCTTCACTTGTCTCTCCAGGACACAGGTTCCAGATATTCCACTATTTCATACAGTCCAACTTCAATTCTATTTACCGGGGACAAAGGCTTGTCGAGTGAGACCAACGAATCGCCCTTTCGATGGAATCTACCCTCCCCCGGGGAATCTGTGGGGGGCGAGCCACTGCCTGGTGGCGGAAAGGGGCAGGTATCCGAACCCACAGCACACATCTGGCAGGGCTGGAGAGTCGTCCTATTCGGCTCATGTGAGTGCATCCCGGTTTACTTGTCCCTTACCCGTGCTAAACTTGACGGTCGTAGGGTTCAACGTTTTATTGTTGTTGATTCCTGTTTCTGTGAGTGACCGCCTTCACACATCCTGTTGAGTTCACTAATTATCGCGCTACTATTCTAAGTGGACACTGAGCTTCGTGCTCGAGAGGCACCACAAGGTTATATTCATATGTAAGCTTCGCCGAATTCTTCTTGAAGCATGAAACGACTCTTTCAACAGTCAGCATCCTGTCCATGATCCCTCTTGTAAAGGTATGTCACACACTCTTCCGTTGGTCGACTGAATCGAGCGTTCCTTTCTTAGCTTCACGACCTTTCAACTCGTGAGCTGGCCCTTCGTATTGGAGGCACAAAGGCTGGTTTGCTTAATGCGAGTATGGTAAGTCATATTCTATTAACGATTGGATACTCCTCAACCTCTACGTATGCAGAGTAATACGTGAGTTTAAGCTCCTTGGCTATTGATAGCTGTTTGACGCGCATCTCACAAGTGTCGAGATGGTCATTGCGGTAAGCGCTGGACTTGTATGCGTGAGAATCTGCTGATCTCTTTTAGATCACCGCCCTCAGGAAGTGTGAACTAAGAGTCGTACAATCTTCGCGTAAGTTCAACGAACATATTTGAGAATTTAATCTGACACTCGCAGTAATTGGTTCGATTTTGAGCAAGCTACGTATGTCGTGCATCTCTCCCTCATCTAATAACGATCCTCATATTTTTAGTCCTTGTTCTAGGAATGTGCTTCTTTGCAGGCGGGCTTCGCTTCTCCGAGCAAGGGTTCGGCCAGAGTGAGGTCACATATATGATAAAAATACCGAGATAACTAATAGATCTTCCAGCTGCTACACAGATACATTCATCACTTCTGAGTATCAGTGTTGGGGCTCTGCTCCTCCCTGCTGCGTATCATTTTGCAATCAGTGGCGGAAAGGATTCTGGCTCCTTTGAGCAGAAGGATGATATTCTGAAGATGAGCTATGGCGTAAGATTTGTTTTGACTTTGCTGAAACTCCCTCTGATCGAATTATCGTAGGTCTCAATCATACTCATGTTTAGTAAGTCCTGGGTTCATGTGTCCTTCGAGAACCACTTATGATACATGCGCACAGTTTATGTCGCCTATCTTCTCTTCCAGTTCTGGTCCCACAAGCATCTCTATCAAGATTCTAAACTCAAGAGTAGCAAGCTATCGGTCAAGATACCAGTTCATTCGCGTTATCTAACCGAAATGCTATCTTCATCCACGACCCTGAACGACAAACCTAGTATGCATGATATTCGGAGTTTGACTTCTCGACGCCGTGTTTCAGCGCTGCCCAAATTGCCTTATAAGAACTCGCCGTTGAATTCTGCCTCTGAGATCACGTTGACAGGGAGCAAGGAGCATCTTCCGGAGACCATTAAGCAAGAAGTTATACAGGAGTCTACCAATCGGTCGTCCGAGGGAGTGTCACGGCAAACCACGCAAAACGAGCACGATCATGTAGATGGCAGCACTGTTGCCCCCTTAAATCCGCCTTGGAGTACATCACCAATGGCATCCGCCGTTGATACCGATCCTATCCGATGTGCTTCACCAGAGCCTATGACTGCCTCTGAAGGTGCGGATCTGCATAGGTCGCCATCAGCAACGAATAGTTTCAGAGAGCCCCAGCTTAGCTGGATGGTCACCCTTCTGTTATTGACATTGGTTACTATTGTAAGTGATGAATCAGTTCGAATGAGTACCTGTCAGTGACTCCTCTAGACGGTGACTATCACTGCTGAAGATCTCGTGGAATCCATGGACGGAATCTCAACGACAATTAGCAAGCAATGGGTCGGTCTCGTCTTACTTCCTGCAGTCAGTTCTATCGCAGGTATGTATAAGATACTCCTGATTTTGGGGCACTTTGACACATTGGCTATGCAGAATGCGTTACTGCAGTC